ACAAATATATATTAGAATTCCATAACAAATATACTGAACAAGTGATCGATATTTCACAATGGTTTTTTTGCTTTTGATCATGCATGAAATAGCTACCGGAGACGCGGAAAATGGTTTATAACGGCAACTATCGTATCCAATTCAATCTTCGTATAGAAGTAATATGTGTAGAGAATATTCAATTTTACATCTATCAGGTCGGTATATTTTGGGCAGTTTAGTAAATTTCTGAGCGAAAGCCAATTTATTTTATAGATAATAAAAATTGTAATTTGCTGTGTATGGTTGTGGCCTTAGTCCTGAAAGAAATTTTGGTTCAGCGATAAGTTAGATCTAGAAATATTATTTGGATCAGTAAATACTAACTACACCCAGTTTATTTTATACTTCTAACATTCATTTCATGCCGTCACATATGTATTCTTTATTTTTTTTCTTGCGGTCCGAATTCATATTCTAGCGTTTCCTGCAATCTGATTGGCTACGCGAGCGGTCCGTATGAGGCCGTACGGACCGCGCGAGATTTAAAAGCACAGAGCCAACGCTAAAACATGAATTCGGACCGCGAAAAAAAATAAATCTATTATTTACCAATTTAGTCGGTCCGTATAAGGGGCCGTATAGGGAAATATTTCCCTCGGGCTGTTTTTCATACCTTGGGAAATATTTCTCTATACGGACCTCCAATCTGGTAAATAACATATATATAAATATGGTTATTTGAATCGATCAACAATTTTCTTTTTCAAAATCAACACTATGATGATCGATGCTTATTTAGTTAAACTGTTTTCATCATTTATAGCAGATAAAAGAGTTTGATTTCACTCAGGTTAAAATCAGTAACGTGTGGGTAAAACCGGTGACGTTTATTTAGTTACATGTGAAATATTCCTGACATGCGTTATATACTTTCCGTCTTCCAAGTATTAGCAATTAAGTGTTAGGCCCACATACACAGCACGCGATTCAATTCTGGAAGAAATTTGAGAGCTATAATGTATATGGGCGGCAGACATGTCAAAATGTACTATTCTTTAGCAGGTATCCAGAATATCATGACATGATCAAACTTAGTTGCTTTTGATTTTTGAAAACTCAAAAATTCGTAAAAAAAAGTGAGCGAGGGTGTGTCCCAGTGAGCGAGGGTGTGTCCCAGACTCCCAGTGAGCGAGGGTGTGTTCCAGTGAGCGAGGGTGTGTCCCAGACTCCCAGTGAGTGAGGGTGTGTCACTGATGACGTCACGCAACGCGAGGTAAAAATTGGTTGGTGACAATGTTGCTGCGAAATAATTGCCATTCTTTTCTCTTTAAATATTTAAATTAAACAAAGCTCGTTTAATATATAATCAGTGCAATAATTTTACGCCTATACCAACTTGTATTCGACCAATGGCACTACCGTACCTTGGACTTTTAATCTCACGGGGTTTTTCACTTCGAGTAAGGCCAGAAAAAGCTACTGCATGTTTAGTTTAATATATAAAATTGAATTTTGGTTGCATTTATCTGAGCCTTCGTCGATCAACGTTCGTCGATAATTTCCTCAATAAAGTTTAACTGAGAGTCTTACTGATTTCCAGTGGAAATCATAGACGTCAAGTTCAACTGTTCCTAACTTCAATGGTATATCATGTTTATAGCAGAATTATGGCTCATTTATATGCATTTAAATTACTAGAATATTGCTTCGTCTCTTACCTATGATATTCGCTGTAGTTATGATAGTCGAAGATTATACCGTCCACGCTAGTTTTCGTGTTTTTACTTACTCCTAGTTTGCGGTATATACTACTTCTAATCCCTGCCTCTGTAAATTTCCAGGACGTGTCCACATACCTGACGCAAGATCTTGTACAGATTTTCACCTCACGTTCTTCGCCTGCATGTTCATAATTCCGTTCGTCCAGGACTTTTTTTCCGCCTATGAGAAAGGTCGGCGACGGCAAGGAAAATACGCAAACAATTAAGTCACACTGAACGCTGCTTGATTCAAATCTCCTTTTGTGCGGTTGTTATTCTTTTGAGATCCTTTTCAAACTGATTACAGAGATAACATTGAAAAGCTTGTAATATTACACCGCCATGCGCGCGGTACATTCGTTTGATATGATTCTAAAACTGAGACGTTTAAGTGCCAACTACTGATAAAACAAAATTAAAATATTGAGCATAACAACCATAAATATATTTTTTCCGCCATCTGGATATCTTCCAATCGATTCAGTTTTTCCTGTATACTCCTGCATATATGGCAATTATACAAATTGAACAGATTGAACCATAGTAGCCTACTTCTCTCTTCGTATCTCAGTTGTAAAGAAAAACGAGAAAGATGTCTTAAGTTAAAGACGAAACGTTACAAATGAAATTATTTTAAAATCTTAATTGTTTTTATGGCCACCTTAAAAATTATATGTTGGACTCTCATATTCATTATAAAAAACGAAAATGAAGAGTCTTCGCTTTTTATTTGTAATTTTCATTTTCTTAAATGGGACTGTTTAATAATTAGTTGCCTCAAGGTTTTTTACAGAGGCTCCATGTGTAAGAAGAATTAGCATGATGCCGGAGTGGCGGAGTATGGGGCCTTGGTTGGAACAGATGTTCGATAGACACGCGCTTAAATACCCGATAAACTCTTTAAACCATGCATGCAGTCATGTATGAACCCAGGCAGTATACGCAACCTGTAGCCAAATCGGCAGTCAGTACTTATTTGAGGCATGTGCTGACAACCCGCTGTATAAACAAAACGCCATAAATTGACCTACTTAACCAATGTCAGCACGTGGTTGGTCAGTTTAAAATCTCGTCATAAAACCATTATAGAAATTGTGAGATTTTTAACCAGGCCACATGCATACAAGGATTCCTATACAGTTATTACTTGTATCTCAATAGCACGCTTCAACATTAAAAAATCAGATAACATTGAGGGACCGACGTGGCAATACCTTACTTGTCTATCAAAATAACGAGATGATTTTTGCTGTTAGACCCGAGAAAAAAATCTAATGAATACCACACATCTTTAATGAGATAGGAAAGATAAGATGTCTGTGCAACAAAAAATAAAGCGAAGTAACAACTGTCGATTGACTGAAACTCGGAAGTTGCGAGCAGAACATAACTTGGACAAATAAGCCTGCTGACTTCGGCTTTATTGTCGGCGCAAAAACATAAATTATTTTGCATGTTTCGTCATATAAAGTCGACGAAGTAATATATTATATTATCTGGTAAGTTATTTGGTCTAACTGATATCATTCTCAGTGCTTACTATGTAAATGATGCAGTGTAGTGACTGTAGTCATAACATATATACTTGTTATTGTAGTGTTACAGATTTCAATTTGGGCAAAACGCGAGAGGTTCCCAATACCGACAAGTGTTTTAGAGACGGGAAAACGTCAGTCTTTCAAACATATGTGAGTAAAGTTCAGTTACATATAAATCAATTGCCTGCATGTCTGACTGGCTTCAATTGCCATGGAGATAGCTACAATATGACACAACTCTCATAGCAAAAACCTCTGGCAAATTTAATTCGGAACGTCAGGATTGCGGATCATTCAGGTTAGTGGCCTACACAAGAGTTTCCTCTGCAATGAGTTCTGCACGTACCATCATGAAATAATAAATGGTTAAGTCTAGTCTATTTAGTACCATGTAACTACATACATAACACTTCACGTAATTTAACCCAATCTGGTACCCTGTGGCTTATATCACTTCACAGGAGAAGTGAAAAACACAACGCCATTCTATAAGGGCATTGTGTAGAAAAAGTGAAAAACAAGCTGAAACAACCCAAGATAAGCTTTGGATATAATCGAAAGAGTTGAAATAGCTAAAATTAGACTGCGACCTCTGCATGTATCTAAAGTAAGGAAGTTTGTATAAAGTTTATTATTGGAATGGAGTCAGTGGTGTAGTCCATAACCATTGGCATACGATTATTTTTTGCGTTCGCATTTCTTTTAGTAGATGAGTGTCTTATATGCAAATAAGAGCACTAATAGTTACTTAAACAATAGTTTGAATTTATAAATCATTAAATGATACTAATTAAACTTTGCACCAACCGACCAAAAGGCTGTAGGTTTTCTTTGGTGCGCTCCAAGTGCTCGTCGGTAAAACGTCGGGGGTGCATGCCCCCTCCATTTAGGATAGTCACGCTACCCCCTGCTGGTTAGGCTGGTAACTATACCATTTTGCTTGCCCCTGGCCTGGAACTAGATTCGCATCAGATTTCGATAGACCATTGTGACGACATTACTGAACCGCCAAGGCCTCGATTACATTGTACCAGATTCCTGTCGGAACAGTTCAAAATTTGCACATGCTAAAAGTTTTAGCCTAAAACGTGTGCAGTTTTTGAAATGTAAGAGAAATTAATATACTCAATCGGTGTTGTTTTTAGGCATTTGCTACTATCTTTTTCTTCTTAAGGATAAATGGAGATCTAAAGGTCCTTACGATCGAGTCCACTACACTTGAAAGAAACCTATGCTTTGTAATTTTTATCTTTCCCGCATTACAGCCATAATTGCATCAAAGCATGCTGGTCTTTGTAGTTAAATAATGCTATTAAACGGTATAACGATAAGGTCTCATTGGCTTTGATGACTACGCTGAGTCCTTACGAAGAATTATGTACCCCATAAACTCACTAGAACCCAAATGAACATCATTGATCCTTGGATACAATGAAAGCGAGTTCTAATTCCTTGATTTGTGTATCGACGAACACATCGTTAATTGGTGTATCGACGAACAGTCGAACACGGCACATTGATGCATCATTTGATTGCTATCTTGCATGACCATTATTTAGTTAACACAAAACCAAGTATAGACAAACTTGTTGTCGACTTGTCGGACAAAACTGATCTTGCTGGAGGCCATTTGTCTTTGAAGTTTGAACAAACACGCTTTACTATGAACCCAAGGTGAAATAGTTCGCACATTTTTACATCCGTTGCTTTACAAATAGGGTCCAATTATAAATTCGTGTGTCATTTGTGGTCTAAAATATGCATGTTTGCTTCATTGACAAGTGAACGGAAGCTCCCGCATTGCTATCTAACGCCGAGAATGCTACACTCCATACGCGTACGAAAGCGATAATTCTGTTAATTGCTGCACTTGCAGAGTATGAGTGGTTCCTCACCACGTTTGTCACAGGTTTCACTTTGGCACATAAGATTATATTGTGGAAAATTTTATTTGTAGTTTTGACTGTACAGTTTGTTTACAATGGTGAGTAAAATTATAGGTAATCATCGTTATGGATGAAGAGAATTGAGGTATTTAGATTTTGACAACCCTGCCCACTGACACTGTGCCTGTTCCTAACATTCGAAGGATAAGAATAATCTTGGACAGACAGGCTGGCCGTAATTTTATCATTTTGTGTTTACATTTTTTATGTTTACATATAGAAAAATGGCTAAAACGCCGTGGAAGATACAAACAGCTCAGTCTATCTTCTTTGCCTTGGTTTTACTATCATTTCATGTGAATTATACTCATTCTTCTGGTAAGCATACAAAGGCTATAAGGCCATATCTTTTCGTACGTCTGTTGATGACTCGTTACAACCCAGTATTTTTATCAGTTAATTAGAAAGAATTTAAATTTTTATGTGAAATAATTGCGATCATGAAACGATCATTAAAGATAGGCTACCTTAATTCCTCGAGCAATATTGCATCATGTAATCTGTATTCTATATAAAAAGTCAAATCATTATGTATAATATGTACGTGGTACCGTAATGCCATATTTGCAGGAAGATGGGAACATATATATACATACCGTAACACAAATAATTGCAACAAATGGAGCACACTGACATGTAATGTAAAGTATTCTTTGTGATCTGTCCGTTTATTTCTTTTGAATAACCAATCATGGCATATGGGAAAATGTTTTCACCAAAGTTTTTCAACACACTGGTTGAACATTTTACTATTGATATTTTATTTGGTCTACGGATGTGATGGCTAGTTCTTATGTAGTTGAATAAGGGTAAACGTTGATAAATATACACTGAGATAGCATGCAGAAATCACTTACTTATCTACGTCCGCGAAAGGTTCACTACTCGTAGAATTTTTTCTAATTTGTTTTGATTATATATGTGACGAAATTTGCTATCAATTTCACCTTCAGATAATATAGATACTTTTTTCCGGCGTATAGGTCAATACAACAATAATATGCCAAATTATTCCAATTCTTAATTTACATATTAAATATTGATTTGAACTTTGTGAGTGTGATTATAATCCTCTTTTTTTAATCGAGTACCGCTTAATTTAGTGATAGATGATATTGCCTGTATTCGTTTGGCTTGTTATCAAATATGCATAACAGCGTGTATTGTAAAGTATTTTTAGGCTACTTGAGAATGCTAATACTTGCTTTCGCATAGACTGCCTCTCGGAAATGGCAGCTAATTTGAATTTTGGAAGAACTTTGAAAATGTTACTTGGTTTGATATTATGTAGAGACTCACTGAATTCGAATTCTATAGTCAATAGGCGGACGAATGATTTTAGAAAAAATTACTCTCTCTCTCGGGTACAAACTGCCCGGGTAATCACCGATATGCGGTACTTTTCTCACCCACTGATACCTGATAACAGCTAACTAAAGACTAAGTAATCTTTTTTTAGTTTGCAGTGAAGATATTATTGTTGAGAAAAAAAGTCTATCAAGTCCAAATTATCCATATCATTATCCTTCAAATGCAAGCTGCACTTGGATTATAAAATCGTCTCTGGAAGATCATGAAATTGTGTTGAAAATTCAAGATTTGGATATAGAACCTCAGGCGCTGTGTAATTTTGATTATATTCAAATTGGTTCTGGAAGTGTTCCGGGCGAAAACGTCATAGTAAATAGACTCTGTGGGACTGAAAAACCTGGTCCTATCAAATCAGATTCGCATGCATTGTGGTTGAGATTTGTATCTGATGCCGCTAAAACATTTAGAGGTTTTCGTGCAACATGGAAAGCAAAGAAAGCCCGTAAATCTCAAGTATTTCCTAACCCCGCAGTTGAAAAGAACGGTAAGGTTACAAAATAAAAAAAATCGGTATAGCTGTGCAAAAATATTGCGTGGAACGTTTTCTAACTTAGCATTATAATCGGTTATTCGAAGCCAATTTGTAACTTGTACTCGTGGATAAGGAACTTTTTGTGTTCCAGCTATTCAAGTTCAATGACAATGCAATATTCTTTCAATTAAACAGATTAGAAAGATGTTTAGTTCCTTTAAAAATCCATGAATTTGTTCTCCATTTTGAGCTAAACATTGATTCGAACAGCCGGTCCCAGATCACCAAGTGCGTCTGGACTAGTTTTTTGTGGTCAAGTTTAGGACTGAAATGTACAGGAGTTAGTTTAAGCCTACTAAACATAGCCAGAATACGAAATTAATTTAGACAAGGCTCAAGATTGTGATCTCAGTTCTGTATTTTAATTATGTCTAGTATGTGGTGAAAAGATCCTCAATGGAGTGGAGGGTACCATTAAATCACCCAAATTCCCTCGGAAATATCCTTATGACCAAAAATGTCACTGGGTTATCATGGCGCCAAGAACAAATCGTGTTGTGATTAGATTTCAATATTTTGATTTGGAAGGAGCATCAAATTGCCGCTTTGACTACTTGCTTGTAAAGGATGGTGAACACAACAACTCAAAAACTATTGGTCGTTATTGTGGCTCTAGTAAACCAGCTACCATTACGACATCAAGCAATACTGCAAATCTCAGGTTTAATTCCGATACCTCGATTGCTAGAGGAGGTTTCTTGATTCGATGGAATGCCGTTAGTCTGTTGACTACAACACCTCCCGGAGGTGTCATCACAAAGACAATTGCAACCGAGAAACCATCAAAACCAGGTATAGTGATTGGCATTTGTAGGTATACTGTAATAACATCATGACGTGCATGTGGGGAGTGTTTGGTCAAAGAATAATCAGTACACGCTACAATCAGTTTCATGTCATTGGACCTTTCCTGTAATTACGTCGCCATTTCATTGTTCTCAAATAATACATATTTTTTCTGTCTGTGTTTGAAAAAAACCATCTTTCTTAGACCTAGCCCGTGAGAAAAAAGTGAAATACATTCCATTTAGATACAGACAAGAATGTTGTTTCCTTGTTACCTTGACGTTACAACTTTTACGTTTTAGAATGTGGTGGACAGTTGACATCAAATGAAGGAAGTATTCAATCACCTTTATATCCAGAGTTCTATCCTAATAACATGCTCTGTACTTGGGTAATTAGCGTGGAAAAACCAGCACGAATCCGATTAACATTTGGTACGGAGTTCGATTTGGAGAACGAAGAGCAATGTCCTTACGACTTTCTAAGTATCAGAGATGGAGCGAATATTGTGGATAGCGAAATAGGAAAATATTGCGGCAAAATTATCCCGAACACCATTTTGTCAACCACAAGTAGCGTACATATAACATTTCGTTCAGATAAATCTGGAGGTGGGAAAGGGTTTTCCTTGGAATGGATAGCTGAGAGAATCATGACCCTTGGGCCTATAACCACACCTGTTCCAACAACTACCTCGCCAGGTATGATTTAATGTACACTCTGTTTCTTTAAACTCGACTTATGAATCTATTCAAGGTATATCTTAATCTATATCAAGCATAATATTTCGTTCGATCAAAAAGTCTCCTTGAAGGTGGCTTTTCACTAGAGAATTGGCTACAGTGGAGTTCCCGCAATTGAGAGAAACATTGAGAGAAAATTGGGAGAAACAATTCGTTCGAACCAAGTGTAATGGAAACACTGGTTTAATGTTTATAGATACGTACGCGTGTTATTTCTTCTCACTGAAACAGCAGGCAGATTTTACTTTTTCCATTGTCTCTACAAAAAAAGCATGCAGTACAAAGTTATCATCAATCCCTGCCATTTTTATCTATTTTAGATTGTGGTGGTCATCTTACTGAGTCAACTGGTATCATTACGTCGCCCAAATATCCCATGATGTATCCATCCAACCAAAATTGTGTGTGGTTGCTGTCCATGGCTAGTGGCAGTCAAATTCGACTCACATTTGATTACCTCGAGTTGGAAGATGATTTGAATTGTGCATACGATTATCTGTTAATACGTGATGGTGCTAGTATAGACTCACCAGTTATTGGAAGATATTGTGGGTCATCAATAAGGATTTCAGAGAAATATATCTATTCTTCAGGGAAAGACCTAAGAATTGAATTTCATTCAGACAACGTAGGATCCAAAGGTGGTTTTCGCCTTTCATGGCAAAGCATTTTGGAAGCAACTACCCGACCGACATTATTAACAACACCAACAGTTCTTGGAAGACATAGGATTATGAGAGGTCGGTAAAGTGTTTTTTGGACAAACAATCAATCGTCCTATAATGTCCATTGTTTATTTTCTTCTGCATAGGTTGTGGTGGTTTTTTCCAACTTGGATTACACAGTGGTACAATCTTTTCGCCAGCCTACCCTAACAAGTACGCTCCTTATCTCACCTGTACTTGGACTATACTTGTGGAAGAACAAAATCTTGTTGCGGTGTCCTTCAATGAATTTGAATTAGAATATTCAGTCGGGTGCTCATCTGATTACGTTATCGTAAAAGATGGTATTTCTAAGAATTCTGAGGTTCTTGGAAAGTATTGCGGAACTGATGTGCCGCTTTATCTTCTCTCAAGTGGCAGCGAGCTGTCAATTGTGTTTCGCACGAATGAGGTGAATAGCGCAAAAGGGTTTGAAATATCATGGATGAAATATGAGGCTCCACAATCATCTCCAACAGGAATTAAACCACCTCCAGGTAAAGCTTTTATGATTTTTGGTGGTCAAAACCCTTCATTTGTCCGGGTAGGCATATGATCATGCATTATGATGTAGCAATGTAATGAATGCTCCTGTTAATGGCATGAGATTGTTGCTAGTTTCTTCATTATAGTAAATGTTTAGCTACGCAAAAAATGTGGTATAAAACGGCCTAAAATAGAGAAAAAACTATTTTAAGCATTTGTTATACCACATTTGATGTGAACGCTGCTTCCTTGGTAATTATTGGAACGTAATGTTTAGCTATTTCGAATTTTGACTTGTGAATTTTCAAATAAACATTGTTATTATTATTATTTATTCTCTCCAGCAGTGAATAAGGATAAGAAAGAACCCGTATGTCTAAACGAGTATGGTTCGCTTACTGGTGAATCAGCGCCATTTGTAAAAGAAAGTTGTCTCTGGGACCTACGTGTAAAAGTCGGTAATCAAATACAGGTTGATTTCGAAGAGTTCAGCTTTCATACCAACTGTTCTGAAGATTATGTTGAGATACGAAATGGTTTAACAAAGTATGCCCCGGTGGTTGCCAGATTTTGCAGCGGGAATCTACCGTATCAAATCATGTCGACAAGTCGTTTTATGATGGTTCGTTATGAAATGTCCGGTAAAAATCAAACCAAATTCAAACTGAACTACAAAGAAATAGGTAGTGGTAAAAACGATGTGCACATTGCATTCAACACAGGTAAGTCATTTAGTAATTGTGTTATCAGGTTTTGCGTCAGCGAAGTGTGGACAAGTCTTCCCAAATAAAATGGAAATGATTTTATAATTATTAACAACGTGGCCTTATTATATCTGTTCCTTTAGACGGATGTGGCAATTCTGCTCTTACACGAGAGTCAGATGACGGTGAGCGACAGAATAACAAGTTGGGAGATTGGCCTTGGCAAGTCGCTCTCATGAAGAAAGGAATGTCGTTAGTCACTTGTGGAGGAGTTTTAATATCACCACAGTGGGTAATGACTGCAGCGCATTGCTTTACAAGGTTTGCTTTACATGCTTTACGTTAATTTAAAGTCTTTAAGGTGTCACTGGAAAGGGATAAAGATCGAGAGGTTGTAATGAGAATTCTGTGAGTTTTTTTTGTTCTCTCGTTTTCAGGAGTATTTCCTCCTCTCAGTGGATTGCAAAACTAGGCTCAGTGGATATACAAGCTGGTGGCAAATCTGAACAGACTTTTGATATTTCTGTTGTACGCGTCCATCCAAACTACAACAGTTCTAGCAACCAGAATGATATAGCTTTGGTACGACTACAAAAACCCGCCAAACTCAACAACTACGTCAATACCATATGTTTACCGGATCAAGGCTCGGACAAACTTTTTGAAACCGGTAATAACTGTCACGTGGCTGGTTGGGGGACTTATCAAGCTTCTAGTGATTCTGTTTATCCCTTATCGTCACTGACTTTACCAATTGTTTCAAACACTGAATGTGATACGTTTGATGACTTTGCGGTGACAGATAATATGTTATGTGCTGGATCCAAAAATAGAATTGATACCTGTCATGGTGATGGGGGTGGATCGTTGATGTGCAAGGATAGTGGGGGATTTGTTGCAATAGGTATTAACAGCGTAGGTGAAGGTTGTGGTAATTCCGAAAATTATGGAGTATATACTGACGTACGACCCTATCTTGACTGGATTAAGGTCCAGATATTTATGTAGTTATATATTGTTCACTTTTGTAAGTTTTGCTATCTTAGCAAGTAGCATTTTTAAAAATTTGTAGCAGATTCTTGTAACAGCGTATTGAGATAAGAATAAAAGTAGATTTCTTAAGGGTGTTTTTCGCAGCGATAGGGGCGCCTCTCTTAAATAACTACGATACTGGTTGGGGGTCTTCTATCCAGTTATAATGGCTCTGGCCAGTGGCAACTGCAATCTGGTGCGCAGACACAAGATTAAGACCTCGTTTACACGAAAAAAATTGGAACCCGTCTTGAATTCGTCCCGCTTGGCAGTCCTACGTCAGGAGTATGATAGTCGAGAAATACCAAAAGAGGGTCTTTTCTCCGCCCGGCGCAACTTTCTGCAGTGGGCAGTTCAGTGGCAGTGGGTTGACCAGACGCGTGTGGTTGTATCACATTATATGCGTTATTATTTGAAGTATCAACCACAGTTTCAATATGGCAGCAGAGAAGAAAGCGAGCGAAAATGGCGAAAAGAAACCAGACTTAGGACTCCTCGAAGAAGACGATGAATTCGAAGAGTTCCCAACTGAAGGTATGGATTTTTACATGTAGAACCTAGATTGCCTGTCAATGCCATTAAAAATCACCAAAAGCAATGGTTTGTATAAAATATTTCATAGCTTGGACTGGTGAAGAAGAAGATCAGGACGAAAACCATATTTGGCAAGATGACTGGGATGATGACACTGTTGAAGATGATTTCTCAAACCAGTTAAGGTACAGAGAGGATTAAAATCTATAAATTCACTTCTGATGGATGCTTTATAGTGTGTATAGTTTTCAAATTCTTAGTCTCAGTCTGGAAATAACTCCACAGCTCTTTAATAACTTTATTAAAACGCACACATACATATATAAGCATGACTAATACGGAATGCTTACAGAAAATATGATAACGAAAAGCTGACCCACAAACAAAAAGTTTATGTAGAGTATGAATAAGAAATTTTAATTTATATTTAACCTTGTAGTAATTCTATAGTTGTGCCAAAAATGGAAATATGTTATCACCAGTCATCAAAAAATTGTATCTGACTTTGTATTTTTAAAAATTTTTGTTTAGAGCTGAACTAGAAAAACATGGATACAAAGTTGATCAACCAGAAACAATGAAAACGTAATGAAAGGAGTTGCATTTAGACAACATTGTTGTACAGAACTTTTGTGATTCTTTTAATTATTGATTTAGCATTACATTGTACTGTAAGCTTTTATTTTTAGTGACCACTATATACTGTACACAATTTCAATAATGGTTTCTTAGCATTATACAGCAGGGTACACAAAAGTATGTCAAAGAAGAGTAAAAACTTGCCATTCTCAAATAATTTTTGACAGTGTTTCATTGTGGAATTAGAGCTTCCCACTTGTGGATTGGGTGCACATAATCATTAATGGGTTTCATATTTGTATCTTGCCTCCACTACTTTTCGCTGGTTAGGTTAATCTGATAGACCTACATAGTACAAATCAGTTGTCACTACTTGATTGGTTCAAGGTCTGTTGAAGGTATTGGTAGTAATATCTGAGTCAGGGTAATTTCAGTGACAAGATCTTTTTCCCCCTGAATTTTGGAAAGAGACGTTGGGTATGAGCGGTTGAAAGGCAGTAAAACCAGCAATATACCTTTAGTTGGCATAGTTGCAAGTTCAGTTACAGACACCCCCCCTCCTGAATATAACAGCCTGCGAACAGGCGTGCTCTGCTATTCATCATGTAGATTTGTAAGAAAACTACTCAAAGAAATACGGTTTAATTTAAAAATGCGTGTCCTAACACACAATATGCTTATGTCTAACATTAAAGGTGTTAAAAATGGATATCCATTGCTCATTGAAGTAAGTTTTGTTATATGGATTTTTAAGTTATACATACTTGACCATGCATGTGGGCCATGGCTGCCATCTATTACATAGATAATTTCATGATTTACATCTCTTGGAGAGTATTAATGTTGATCAATTTGTACTGATAATTTGTTGGACACTAATCAAAGTGAACACTAAAAAATCTGTATCCCACTTTTTCATGACATCAGTTGTTGGATATTGCAATCCACACATGGCTATAAGCTAATCAGAAGCTCTGAACTCTTTTTATTAGATAATAATATTATTTACACTAGGCTTTGGATATTACAATTAATGAAGTTGAATTCAATGCACAATTCATATCACGTATGATACCCAGATTGGATTGGAGTGCTGTTGTCCAGGCTGCCAAACAGGTATTCAATTTGACATTTGTGGTACATAAAGCTTATAATCATTATGCAAATGTAATCTTTCAGGCACAGTAAACTAACATTGTGCTTTGGATGTTACTAAACTGTAGTGTGTTAATTTTGAATGTCTAAAGTTTCTATTTGCTTTTGTTCATGACTGGCAAATGCCCAACTAGCTTGGAAAGGGTGAAGATTTTCCATGTGAAGTTGTTCCAGATTTTGAAAATGATGAAGACTTTCTCAGGAAAGCACACCACATATTGTTGGAGGTGAGATTCTGTTCCTATTGGTCAAACTTCAGTCACATATTTGTACTTTTGCATTATATTACACATATGTTAAATTACTATGTGCCGAACTCTAAACTATTATTTTGTCCAACCACTGATTTGTCTATTGTAGTGTAACAGCATTTTCATGTCTCTCAGGTTGAGGTACAAAAAGGTTTCCTAATCTGTCCAGAGACATCAAGAAAATTTCCTGTTGAGAATGGTATACCTAACATGCTACTAAATGAAGATGAAGTATGACAGATCCACAGAATAGAGATAGTAAAAAATTCAAGAGAAATATTAAATGTGAATAGTTCAGAGATATTATTTGTGAATTGTGATACATTCAGCAACATTTTCTAGTATGCATCATTTCCTCTGTGTTAGGCATGCTCTCATCTCTCTCTCAATTCATGTGTTAGTTACACCCATCATATAAATAAATTTAGTTAGTGGACATTTATCGAAACAATGTAAAGAGTTGAAAAAAATAAGCTTGGATGTTTGTAAGTAATTAAGTAATAAGCTTGGATGTTTGTAAGTAATCTCAAATTTCTTAATTGCTTCTAATTTCCACAATTAGAATTGTCTTACAAAAAATTACTTTGTTACAAGGCTTGGGATGTTTTATAAATAGATATGCATGTTGACTGGACATGATATTGATGATAAAGGATGGGGTCAGGTGTGCTCTTTAGCGTTGTATCATATTTCCCAGAAATACACACTAGACTAAATCGTAATGTTACTGTTATAGCTGAGGGGACTTTGCTCACCCAACTACCTCACCCTGCCACTCCCCCAAGATGCCCACAATATAAGACACTTGGGTCATCATCTAAACCACTTGACCAACCGTGCAACGAGTACTGCGAAAGTGGTAGTCAAAATTTTATCATACAAATTGTTGGAGTGTTTGCAACACTCTAAACAAGAATAAATATATAACAGATGTTGAAAAAAATAGACATACACAATCACATTCTACCGAAAGAATGGCCGGATCTTAAGGAGGTTAGAACAAATGTAAAACATTTGATGAATATTATTTAATACCGTACGTTCCATAATTAACTTTGAACTCCAAAATTTGGAGCATAAATTGGTACGATTATAGAATATCAGAGCAATAGTCCATTATGTTAAAGATCTGTTAGATGATCAATTTTAGAATGTAGAACCGCCCCGTTCTTTAAAAATAGAGTTTATTCTTGTTCTCTGGAAGTCTAATTCAAGGTACATGTATCTAGAAGATTATATGACATTCACTGTTAAGATGTGCGTTGCAATCGCCAGGTATTCTATAATGCTCCGCTCTGTTGTTAATCAAGTATTGGGACAACTCGAAACAAACAAGTTACAAGAACTTTGTTAATTTGATGAGTTCATAAACTCATCAGTGCAAGAACTTAGAACTGCAGAGGGCACCCTTATTTTGGCATGGGCATGCATGTGGTAGCAGTCCTGCACACCTTTTGTTACCCTATAATAGTATCATATACATCCACAATTTGATCTTAATTTTCATTGTAACGGCTATTGTATTATTATGATTGATGCATGATCTTTGCATTAAAAATAACTAATAATACTTATATTGTTTTCCTGTGGATCTTCCTGCTCTTATAAGTTTAAGCGAGCTTAATTGCTCTGTGTGGTTGCTAACTTGCTATGCTGAAATGAATGTGCCCTTTTCTAAAACTCCCCCCTCAGCCCCCCTTAGTCCACCACCCCTGAACCAACTTGTTTCAGGATTGCATGGCACAACAAATTTAGTATGTACATAATATTAAATAATTAATTATTTAACACATATTTTTAAGAGCTTTGGGCAATACACAGAACCAAATGGTTGTTAAGACTATTGTGTGTGGCCTGTGCTCACCATTTAGGCCCCAGCACTATAATCAAAGGGTCTCTCTAAGCATTCAAAGAATCAGGTATTTTTCCCCTCTTGCCCCCTTCTCACTTGTCAGGATGGTTGTTCTACAGATGCTGCACTAACTTGATATGCAGTACATGCCAAACACAACTTGTTGACAAGAGGCAATTTTTAATCAAAAGGAATACATGGGAGGTGCATGTTTATTTCCACTCCTTATTTGTAATCTATATGATGAAATTACCCCCCAATATTTTCGTATGAAATATTTTCCAATCTAAATATTTAGTGTATCATTAAACATAATTTATTTTCAAGCTTTAATATTAATTTAATGTCACTTAATTATTTTAACTGGTTGTCTTAGTGATTGGCCTCATGTTGTTGGTTGGAACATCCCATCTTTTTAAAATATTTTAACATTGCACTCATGAACATTCATTATTATTTAAAGCAGGATCTTCCCCACTTGCAAGCCCTGCATCCTTGTTTTTTGGGGAATTCTGACATGACTATACTAATACTAGATTTACTGAGGATCATGCGCATCCTAGCTCATACACTACTACTTATTATGACGCCTTTAGTCCAAACAACAGAAGTCGGAAATGCGGATTCAATCATTCATGAAAAAAAAAACAGTGAAAAACAATTCTGCTGTACTGGTTAATGCTTCGAATGCTAGCCTTTTTCGCAAAAATTACATTCAGTTTAAGCTTCGTACTCCGAAATTTTGGAATGAATTCACGTCCTTCGACAATTATATAACAAATCAGTGAATGGAGAATGGAGTTTCATTTCTATACTTCTTTTTTACAGAGGTACGGCTATGGTGGATTCATTAGATTGCATCACCATTGCGAGGTAAAAAAAGTGTGTTGGTACTTGGGATTGTCGGACTGTATCAACCACTGATTTGTCTATCCTTTAAATCGGTATAGATTACCATATGCGCAGCACAGCGAATGTACGTTTTCTCCAAGTGCATGACTGACGTTGCGATTTTCTTTTGTACTGCTTTCGAACTGCATCCTTGTGAGAGTTTTTCTGAGAGAACAGCTTTTCCGTAAACATGGACATAGATTTACAATCACAATGTATTAGAACACGTTTACACTTCATTTTAGGGAAAGGCCGAAATGTGGAAAGATGAAACACTCTTCCGGGTTATAGATGAAAACTGTTGGAACCCAGAAGCAAGAATAAAGGAAATGGATGAAACAGGTATGCAGGTTTAATGTGCACTGGAGTTGCCTAGTTTTTATGGGTATATTATAGGTCTTTATATACTCTATACGTATAGTATATACGGGAGTCGCCCATGGTGGTGAAGTAGTAGATGTTTTAAAATATAAGTAACGTAGTACTTGAGTCGTATACTTTTACTCTTGGTAATATTGCCTGACCCGGAGCCTTGGAGATGAAGTTTCACTTCAAGTTTAACAAACTGAATTTTCCAGGCGTTACTGTGCAAGTTTTATCAACTGTTCCTGTTATGTTTAGCTACTGGGTAAGATTTCATCCTTTCATTTTCAATAATGTTTTATTCCATCTTTCATACCAGTTTTATTTTTACCTAAGGCAAAACCTGAGGACACTCTTGACCTATGTGAGATCTTAAATGATGATATTGCAGCGAAAGTTTCATCCCACCCGAAGCGGTTTGTTGGTCTAGGAACATTACCAATGCAGGTACATTTCTCTGTTATACATTAGAATGAAGGTTTATTACTCTTAAAGTCCGAACTGCTACCACTGGCTTCTTCACAGGGGTATATACATATAACGAGACATTCTTGTACATTCTGAGAATGTAAGGTTTTCACTAAAACAAAGGATTTTATCCAGGCTCCAGACCTAGCAGTTAAGGAACTGAAGAGATGTGTTAAGGTGAGGTATTATACTATTATATGTGGAGAAATGTGCACGTCGCTTTGGAGAAATGTGTAAAACCACGTTAAAACAAATTGTCCAAATTTAGCTATCATAAAGCTCATTTACTGAGAGTTTGCATGTGCAATATTTGCTGGGATTTTTATTGCGATTTTCGTCTTGCAATGCAAGTTGCAACTGTATTAAGTGGCCTTACTTTGTAGGAACTCGGATTTCCAGGAGTTCAAATTGGTTCACACGTAAATGAGTGGAGCTTAGACGCTCCCGAACTTCGTCCAATCTTTGCTGTGAGTTGTAGTTAATTGTAAAATACTTATTTCAAACTATATTTAATATATAATATTAATGACATAATACATAATATATAATCTTAATTTCATTTGCACCGTATTTTAAATCCATCTGCACTGTATTATTTCCTCCGAGCTCAGTACCACAATGACTTTGCCTGTCGGCAAAGCATATTAGGTACAATGTTGAATGATCATGCATGTAGTAACATTCAATAATTTAATTAGGCTGCTGAAGATTTGAACGCATGTATATTTATTCATCCTTGGGATATGAATCAAAGAATAAAAAAATATTGGTTACCTTGGTTAGTGGGTAGGTTACCTGCTAATTATATTCAGTATTTTATATTTCACAATTTATAAAATTAATGACTAATGCGAATAATAACGGAATAACCGTATCACTTTTTTTTCATATTTCTAAATGTTTTTTTTATAAAGAAATGCCAGCCGAAACGTGTTCAGCAATCTGTTGCCTGATATTTGGAGGTGTTCTAGAACGTTTTCCAAAGTTGAAAATTTGTTTAGCTCACGGAGGTACGGTATTGTCGGTATAATATTAACCGTATATTAGCTACTTGTTCGTATATTACTTGTTCGTATATTACTTCACCATTTCTCTCTAGATTAGCGTTAACTTGATCACTTCTGCAAGCTAAACTATGCATATCATTCGTCAAATATATTAAATTTAGATTTTTCTTTTAGGTGGCTCGTTTCCTTATACAATTGGCAGAATAATTCACGGTTTTGATGTAAGACCAGATCTTTGTGCCATCGAGAACAATATTTCCCCCAAAAAGTACATTGGTCATTTCTACACTGATTCATTAGTACATGATGAAAACGCTCTTAAATTCCTTGTGAACCTTGTTGGTGAAGTAAGTCATTATTTTAACAATATGGCCACTTTTTCTGTTCCATGTGTTTTTTTTCATCAGTGCAGTGATTTAATTATCTTTTGCTGTACAGGATAAAGTTATACTTGGAAGTGATTATCCCTTTCCACTTGGAGAGCATAAACCTGGTGGTTTGATTCAGTCAACATATAAAGATAATCCTGAGATTAAGGTAGAAATTTATCACTGCATACTGAGCATGCATTTTACAAACCAGCGTGGAGATGTTTGGTTGTGTCAAAGTCAAACAATAGAACCGTTAGATCGTTGAAATCTTGTCACAGAAACTCGCACACATCCCTAATCAATCTATCATTTATTTTTAGGCAAAATTGCTGTACAAAAACGCTATTGAGTTCCTTGGATTGGATGAAATCAAGTTTGCATAGACAAGCATATGAAATCTTCTCTAATAATTGTAGAACTAAGATAAAGTATTTGGTGTAGATTTTGTGGAACATAGATTATTCGCTAATATCTTGCAGCAGCCCTGCCTCGAATGATTCAAATTTGCAGTTTGCTTTTACACCTTAGGGTTGACCTTAGGGCAGACACCTCTCGTACACACAAGCACGTGAAAGTTTGAAACCTTCTAAGCTGTTGCATAATTTATTTTATGTCAGAAAAAGCACATCAAATCGTCAACAGAATCTAACCCTATGAAACGATAAGTATCATATGTAAATTATTTCAAATTCAAACTTTTACGTGTGCGAAAAAATTCAAATGTAGTATAATCGTTCCCAAGCCCAAGGTTTTCCGGTTCCCTGATCTGAAAAATTAGAATTGAGCCCGCGTTTAGGCAGTCGGCTGCAGTGGTCGGCTGATGTAAGAAGAATTTCCAAAACAAAATCTCTCTTTGGTTCCACTGCCGGTTGATTGAAGGACGTTATTGTCTGATCGCTGAATGCTACCTTGTTTGTTGAGGAAAAAAACATTACAAAGTGCGTCTCACATTCCTACTTATATCAGGACGTGTTACTTTTCAACCAAAGTTTTGAAAAGAAACTGGAATAGCATTGGTAAAACAATCGTTGCTCTACGGAACATGGGTAGCAAAGATAATTCTCCCAATATTGATACTTTGAGATCCTCGGTGAAAGAACAGGTATTTAAACATTAAAGATGATTAATCACTGTGTGATTGGTCCATTCAATTGCCTTTAATAATTTTTGTATATCCGACTCTGGTTGTATAAAATTATGTACAGTCAACCTCTGTTGTTGTAAATGTTGTCACGTGTACTTTTACGATTTGTCCACTATAATTTACTTGGTGTGAAACAAGTAAATGAAATCGAATTGTAATGTCCTCAAAAGCTACCGTTCTTTTACTATGCCAAAATCATATTTGGATTATTCTGAATCACTTACTGAACCACAATTACTGGCGTTACTTGCTCGATCTTTACAATATCCCTGTAGTAGTGACTGGTGAATTGATTGGCCCTGATTGATATGCTGTTTATCCTGGAACTTAGGAAAATATGTGTGCCTAAATACTACCGTTTATCTTGAATCAGAACATGCCATAATATGAGTCTTTGGGAAAATGTAGATTAGGGGCAGGGTAGTACTTTCCTTTATATTATAACATGTATTATTGGCCAGTTTTATTGAGCCTGATAATATACCGTATTGTCAATTCATAGAAATGATAGAATGTAGAATGTGTATATAGAATGCAACCAGGTACAATGTATTAAATAAAATGCTCCTGTGTACATGGTCATTAAATCTCTACATGGCCACTACAAGCAAGCAAACTTGGAGAATTGTAATTCTGCATGTTGTCTGCTGTTTCCAAAAAGAAATGTTTTTCTAAGTGTTCATGGTTATGATTAGAATTTGAAACCCTAAATTATGATTGAAATATCAGAAGGAGCTTTCAAGATAACTGCTTATATGTTTTTATTAAGCAGCCTGCCAATCAAAGTAAAACAGTAACATACGGTTCTATAAACCTTCAGAAAGTCAGGCATGCATAGACATAGACTCTTGATTTTATGTACTAAATAATTTGCCTGTAAAATCTAGGGAGATCTTATACGAAAGTTGAAGGAGGAAAATGCCGATCAAATTCAAATACAACAAGCTGTCAGAGAATTGAAACATAGAAAGAAAGTGTTAGAGGAGAAGGTGTGTTTATATTTCTCAAATGTTCATCTTGTGTGATTTGATAAAATGCAATCTGTAAGACTATTTGACTAACTAATAAAATAGACTATATATTCGTTTCTTACATGGTAATAATTCATGCATTTTCAGGAATTATTGTCAGACTCAAGATTTACAAAATTTGACCGACCTAAGTTTGAGGACTTCCTAAAGAGACGGTTCTTTTTTGCACCAGCCTTTGAGATTTATGGAGGTATGGCAATGTCAAATGCATATGCATATATGTCTGCTTTACATTAAATGCCAGGGCATGACAAAGGTAAATTTTTGCTTGGTAATGTGGCTGGTATGCTGAACCAAATTACTTGATCTGAATCACTTGGGGGTACTCATATTTTGCCATACACCACAGACTTTGGGAAAGTCAACTCTTTTACCCAAATGATATTTTTAAAATTTCCAGTCTAAATTTCTTTGATCTCTCTAAGGGCCACTTGTGTATATGGTATTTAACAACATTTTATACTGAAATATTTATTTTTAGGTGTTGCAGGCTTATATGACTATGGACCTTCAGGTTGTGCAATTGAAGCAAATGTCTTAAACTTATGGAGGTCTCATTTTGTGCTAGAAGAACAGATGTTAGAAATCAAGTCCACACAACTTACACCTCATGTTGTTCTCAAGTAAGGCTGCTTTACATTTGTACATTTTGGAAGGTACATTCTCATCCTGGTACACTGAATGATACTGATTGTGCATGGTATTCATTTAAGGGCATCTGGTCACGTGGATAGGTTTACAGACTATATGGTCAAAGATGTAAAGACTGGAGAATGTTATCGCGCCGACCATCTCTTGAAAGGTGATTGAACATTGCCATGATTGCTGACAAACAAAAACAATATAAGTTAATTTGCTCTTCGTACCAAAGGTTTTAAAGCGCAATTCTATCACATCTATTTTTCTGAATTTAGCTATTTTGGAAGGCATTATAAATAACAAAAACACTTCAGTTGAGAAGAAGAACGAATGCGAACTCGTCCTCGCGCAGGTAATTAACAGCAGGGACAGCCAGGAGTTGAGTTGACCACCCATCGATGAATTTTTCGCTCGTGATTAGTTAATCCATCGTTTATCTGATCAATTATTTGATCGTTTCATGTTGCTTCCCTAATGGTATTGTGGTCAAGGACATTCTTGACGACTGATACGTCTTTTTATATACGGTATTTCACGCCATCTTCGACGTTCTCAAGCTAAATCTGTTAGTTATACTGGCATCATTACCTGAACGTTGTGCGAGTTTGGTCCGTGGGTGGCGACCAATCTTAACGAAAAACTAAGAATAGTTATGTTTTTCAGCTTGACGACTACGACCAGCCGGCACTGGCCGCAAAACTTAAAGAATACAACGCCAAATTTCCTGGAACCAATAATGACATTACTGAGCCTGCTGAATTCAATCTCATGTTTGGGACTTCTATCGGACCTACTGGACTCCTTCAAGGGTAAATATCATGGTTCGTTTTCTCTTGTTTCAGCTGTTGATTGACGGAATATGTTTGTCTTAGTATTGTGCAGTAGGCTAATTTGAAAAAATCTTTTCACAGAGTAATTATTCTTCTGTTATAAAATAGTCCAATAGGTTTAATATAATCAGGTCGCATCCTCGCCTATTCCCGGCATTACCATCCTTACACATTAACCACGCTTGCTTGCGTCAGCTACCTCTTTAGCTCAGTGGCAAGAGCATTGCACCTGCATCGCAAAAAGCGTAGGTTCGATTCCTGCCGGAGGACCGATAGTTGACTCATTTTTCCATCAACTGTTCCTGGCTTGAATTTCCGACATTTTTGTCTAGATTTTTACGTCCAGAAACGGCGCAAGGAATCTTCGTGAACTTTAAACGTCTTTTGGATTATAATAATGGAAAACTGCCTTTCGCTTCTGCACAAATTGGGGGTGCATTCAGAAATGAAATATCTCCTAGGTCTGGTTTACTTAGAGTCAGGTTAGTAATAATGCACTCGTGTTATTATATAGTAGTGTTATCTTTTGTGGGATGATCAACTCCTCCAGATGATCTTAATACAATACTTGGGGTAAAATTATCTAGATCATCAAACAGTGAGAAAAGTTTGATTTTTTGTGCTTTTCGATCAACTCGATATTTGGCTTGAAATCAGTTGAAAGCTGGGTTTACATTGTTTAAAACGAATTAGAAAATGTGTACCATACGGACTCTTATATGAATTTTACTTTTCAGAGAATTCACGTTAGCAGAAATTGAACACTTTGTTGATCCATCAGACAAAAGTCATCCTAAATTTGAGAATGTGCAAAACGTTCAAGTAACAATGTTTCCCGGTTCGTATCAAATGAGTGGCAAGCCAGCATTTGAAATTACCTTGAAGGAAGCGTATGAAACGGTAAGTAGATGTACTCGTATAAATGTTCTAACAACTTTTTAACGCAACCCGTATTGCACGGTCTGGTATTAGCTAATCACACCCTCGTTCTTTCTCGTATCTAGAATGTAATCAACAGCACTACAGTTGGTTATTTTATTGGCCGAGTTCATCTCTTTCTGTGTAAGATTGGGGTTGATCCTTCTCGGTTAAGATTCCGTCAGCATTTAGCGAACGAAATGGCGCATTATGCCTGTGATTGTTGGGATGCAGAAATTAAGAATTCTTATGTAAGTATGAAAACAACATTACTATTCAATGAAATGTTGTCATACAGTACAGTATGTAGAGCCAGTGGGTTTTTGACGCAAGAAGGAAAAGAAACGTAGAATTTTTGGCCGGGCGAAGTACATCTTATAATTTGTTTTAGGTAATCTATACTCGGTATTAATATATTGCAGGATTCTTTTTAGGGTTGGATAGAGTGCGTTGGGATAGCAGACCGTGCTTGTTATGATCTGAGTGTTCATACAAAATCAAGTGGAGTAAAGTTGGTTGCTCAGGTCGACTTAGCTGAACCTGTATCCAGATTTATTATAAATTTTTGTCTTCATTTTAGGGTAAACCTTAATCACCGTGTTTTAACACACATGTACATCTCGGGGTTCTCTTCATTTTATAAGAAACGTGGGGCAACTTGTTTATTTTCTTCGATATATTATGTAATAGATTTCAATATCTTTGAAGCGAGAATTAAATCATTCTAGCTTAGGTGAACGTATTCAACCTTAACTTAGTATCCAGACTACGGTGAAAGTTGTTGAACCTGTGTTGAACAAAGCACCAATCGGAAAGTCATTCAAGAAAGATGCCAAACAAGTCACTGAACATTTGACAAACTTGGCGGAAAGCGATCTCGATAAATTAGAAAGTTCGCTTGATCAAAATGGGTGAGTCATTACCAGACTAGTTGTAAGCGACTTTGAATGGTATTGTAATATATAGTCGTGCTTTATTTAGAACTTACGTAATTAAAATTGGAGAAAAGGAATACACAATCACGAAAGACATGGTCAAGGAGGTTAAAAGATACGAGAAAGACGTCCACGGTAGGAATTTTCTGCTCTTAATTAGCTAAATAATAGCACATAATTTACAACTTAACTACCACAAGTCAGCTGTATATATATGTATATAGCTACCAACAGTACTGGTCGAACTTAAGAGAATCTGAAAAAGAAACTGTAAGGTCTATATAACGCACCCGTGTACCCTACATACCTGAGGCCATGTTCCTCGTGTTTTCTATACATACCTGAGGCCATGTTCCTCGTGTTTTCTGTACATACCTGAGGCAATGTTCCTCGTGTTTTCTATACATACCTGAGGCCATGTTCCTCGTGTTTTCTATACATACCTGAGGCCATGTTCCTCGTGTTTTCTATACATACCTGAGGCCATGTTCCTCGTGTTTTCTATACATACCTGAGGCCATGTTCCTCGTGTTTTCTATACATACCTAAGGCTGAGATCCTAGTGTACCCTACATACCTGAGGCTATATTCCCCTTGTGTACTCTACATACCTGAGGCCGTGCTCCTCGTGTTCCAGCTATACATACCTAAGGCTGAGATCCTAGCGTACGTACTTACCGCTTTTTCAATATGACGCCTTGGCATGCATGCGTCTATAATTGAAACGTTGCGTTATTTGTTAATGGCTTTCATGTTGAGTCAATTTTTTTTCAGTTCGGGAAGTTGAGCCTCATGTAATTGAACCATCTTTCGGTATTGGCAGAATTATTTATTCATTACTGGAGCATAACTTTCACATAAGAGAAGAAGACGAACAAAGAACGGTTTGTTACATATATGTCACCTTTCTCAGAAAATTTTATTCATTCTGTTTCACATATCGGTTCCCCGACGCAAAATCATCTAATTTTATTTCTAATTAAAAATACATCGTAACTTCAGGTACTTTGGGGTCGTCTTGACATTTAACTTTGTCTAATTGTGTTTTATCTGGATGCTCAAGTCACGACAAAATTTATTGACTAATAATTTTCTTTCTTTTAGTGGCTCTCTTTACCTTCCATGATCGCTCCGGTGAAATGCTCTATTCTCCCGCTGAGCAAAAACAAAGAATTCGATCCTTTTGTCAAAACATTATGTATGTATAACCATGCAATCTCCCTATGAAACTAATTCTTTTATTGCAACTTCTAGCTATGATATAAATTGGCAATATTGTTTTAGTGGTGCATCTAATCTTACTTTTGCTTTTAGCCAATCGCCTGAATGAGTACGATATCAGCCACAGAATTGATGACTCTGCAGGTTCCATCGGTCGAAGATATGCACGAACTGATGAGATTGGTATCCCATTTGGTGTCACAATAGATTTCGATACCGTCAATAAACAACCTTCTACAGTTACTTTACGTGAACGAAATTCAATGAAACAAATTCGACTTCCGGTGAGATAAGTTACGCCTTAATTAATAGGCTTTTTTACCCAATCTACTCGTAAGACGATAGCTATGAACAGCTTTAAGCTCAGCTCACGCGAGAGCTCCTGGTCATGTTAACTATTTCAAAAGACAGTTATAACTACTATTCAAACACCAGAGAAATTTGCATGCTCAGGTCACCTCCTTCCGGGGTCGTTATCTCTCGTGTGCGTTGGCGTTGAAGATCGCAAATATTGTGTCAAGCATAGATTTTCGTCAATTTTTGAAATTTCAAAATTCGGTTCAAAATACTTCAAAATGGTTTAGAACTGTGTAGAATTGCATTCTTTCATGAAAAAAACATTTGAACACAAAAAATCATACTTTGGTGAATTTCAAAATTTTGGGCAAATCGGCAACGGGGGACCAAAGGAAAAATCCTGATTTCGTCAATTTTTTGAAATTTCAAAATTCGGTTCAAAATACCTCAAAATGGTTTAGAACCAAGAAAAATTACATTCTTTCATCAAACAAAAACATTTGAACACAAAAAATCATTTTAGGCAAATTGGTAACGGGGGACCAATGAAAGGAAAAATCCTGAGTTTCGTCAATTTTTTGTTGAAATTTCAAAATTCGGTTCAAAACACCTCGAAATGGTTGAGAACTAAGTAAAATTACATTATTTCATGAAACAAAAACATTTGAACAGAAAAAATCATACTTTGGTGAATTTCAAAATTTTGGGCAAATCGGTAAGGGGGGACCAAAGGAAAAATTCTTATTTTCGTCAATTTTTTGAAACTTCAAAATTCGGTTCAAAACACCTCGAAATGGTTTAGAACTAAGTAAAATTACATTCTTTCATGGAACAAAATCATTTGAACACAAAAAATCATACTTTGGTGAATTTCAAAATTTTGGGCAATTCGGTAACGGGGGACCAAAGGAAAAATCCTGATTTCGTCAATTTTTTGAAATTTCAAAATTCGGTTCAAAATACCTCAAAATGGTTTAGAACCAAGAAAAATTACATTCTTTCATCAAACAAAAACATTTGAACACAAAAAATCATTTTAGGCAAATTGGTAACGGGGGACCAATGAAAGGAAAAATCCTGAGTTTCGTCAATTTTTTGTTGAAATTTCAAAATTCGGTTCAAAACACCTCGAAATGGTTGAGAACTAAGTAAAATTACATTATTTCATGAAACAAAAACATTTGAACAGAAAAAATCATACTTTGGTGAATTTCAAAATTTTGGGCAAATCGGTAAGGGGGGACCAAAGGAAAAATTCTTATTTTCGTCAATTTTTTGAAACTTCAAAATTCGGTTCAAAACACCTCGAAATGGTTTAGAACTAAGTAAAATTACATTCTTTCATGGAACAAAATCATTTGAACACAAAAAATCATACTTTGGTGAATTTCAAAATTTTGGGCAATTCGGTAACGGGGGACCAAAGGAAAAATCCTGATTTCGTCAATTTTTTGAAATTTCAAAGTTCGGTTCAAAATACCTCAAAATGGTTGAGAACTGTGTAGAATTGCATTATTTCATAAAAAAAAACTTTGAACACAAAAAATCATACTTTGGTGAATTTCAAAATTTTAGGCAAATCGGTAACGGGGGACCAAAGGAAAAATTCTTAGTTTCGTCAATTTTTTTGAAATTTAAAAATTCGGTTCAAAATACCTCAAAATGGTTGAGAACTGTGTAGAATTGTATTCTTTCCTGAAAAAAAAATGTGAACACAAAAAGTCATACTTCGATGAATTTCAATCCTGTTTTCGTCAATTGTTTGAAATTTCAAAGTTCGGTTCAAAATACCTAGAAATGGTTTAGAACTAAGTAAAATTACATTATTTCGTGAAACAAAAACATTTGAACAGAAAAAATCATACTTTGGTGAATTTCAAAATTTTAGGCAAATCGGTAAGGGGGGACCAAAGGAAAAATTGGGGGACCAAAGGAAAAATTCTTATTTTCGTCAATTTTTTGAAACTTCAAAATTCGGTTCAAAACACCTCGAAATGGTTTAGAACTAAGTAAAATTGCATTCTTTGATGAAATGCTCCATAATCAATGATCAAACACCATACTGCCTTTCTTTGTCAATCGAAAATACACCAAAATTCCTTTCGGAAGTGCCCCATTACACATGATGAATAACATCTGCATCGTTCCAAAGAATTTCAAATTGCTTGCACTGGAAAAATGTTTGCATCTTCCCTATAACTCACAGTTGAAAATACTCCAAAATTCCAGTCGGAAGTGCTGCATAATCAATGCTCAAACACCATACTGCCATTCTTTGTCAATCGAAAATACACCAAAATTCCTTCGGTTCAAAACACCTCGAAATTGTTTAGAACTAAGTAAAATTATATTCTTTCATCAAACAAAAACATTTGAACACAAAAAAATCATACTTTGGTGAATTTCAAAATTTCGGGCAAATCAGTAACACGGGGGAGAAAAGGAGAAATCTTGATTTTCGTCAATATTTTGAAATTTAAAAATTCGGTTCAAACTTCCTCGAAATGGTTGAGAACTAAATAGAATTGCATTCTTTGATGAAACAAAAACATTGAACACCAAAAATCAAACTTTGGTGAATTTCAAAATTTTAGGAAATTCGGTAAGGGGGGACCAAAGGAAAAATACTGATTTTCGTCAATTTTTTGAAACTTCAAAATTCGGTTCAAAACAATTCGAGTGGTTTAGAACTAAGTAAAATTACATTCTTTCATCAAACAAAATCATTTGAACACAAAAAATCATACTTTGGTAAATTTCAAAATTTTATGCAAATCGGTAACGGGGGACCAAAGGAAAAATCCTGATTTTCGTTAATTTTTTTTGAATTTCAAAATTCGGTTCAAAACACCTCGAAATGGTTGAGAACTGTTTAGAATTGCATTCTCTCTACTACTAGAATTCTGTGTGTGTGGGCTCATTTTTTTCACTAGGTTTGGCATATAAAAAATTTCAAATCAAAATGTGGCCAAAGCCTTTTTTCACGCCATTCCTTAGCTGCATGCCGCCACTCCTTAGGCTCAGTGATTATCGGGGAATTTTCCTTCGGCGAATAATTGTTAAATATTCGCTAATCATCTACTATACCACTTCTCGTCGTTTTAGACATCATATTTTTCATTATAATGTTAAATTGTCCTGGGAAACTCAATACAACAACGGAGAAGTTTGCGCAATCTAAGACTAACCAACTACACCAGTGAACTTGATAGCTCTCTCAATAATAATTTTATGAACTTTATAAGCTGTTATGGTTTTTTTAGATTGACGTTTTGCCAAATTCAGTTAGCGACCTCATACGCGGGGGACGAAAGTGGGAAAGTATGGTCGATGAGTATGGAATTTTTTTAGGACAAGAAACAACGAAATGAAGAGAAGATAAAAAATTTAGTTGACTGTTGTATAATGTGGCGCATGCAAAGTATCTCTTGGCAAATACTCTTTTACACGCTCTGGGAAAATTGAATAAAATATATTCAAAGGAGATAAAATTAGTCTTTTAAAAGGTATGCGACCAAGCATGCATTCCGTATTTAGTGTCATTGGGTATGGTTATCACAAACAGCAGTGTCTGTTTGTTTTATGGGTATCTATCTTCCGACTTTTAACTGTTGCCGCTTTCCCTGACAGTGGTGAAAATTCTGTTTCATTTATTTTTTTTTTTGTGCAATTTTTTTTTCATGTCAAATTTATTTTCTTGTGTCAAATTTTTTTTCCTATTCCGACCCGACCTAGGCAGTATAATAATATATATGTAAGATTGGTATCAACACACAACCTAGTGGCATGGTTACGGCTACGGCCTTTCCAGGTTGATATTTTTTCTTGTGTCCAATTTTTTTTCTTGTGTCCAAATTTTTTTCCTGTCAATTTTTTTTACGTCAAAATTTCTTCGTTTTCTTCGATTTTTTTTCTTTCCACCGGAAGAAATATATATCGTAAGATATCAACATATGATCCGGTGCTCGGTGGCCCAGTGGTTAAGGCTACGGCCTATCAGGTTGTAAGGGTAGGTTCGAATCCTGCATGGGAAAGGTTCGATTTTTCCCACCGAAATTACTATTTAATTTAAAATTCATCGAAAAGGATTAGGTCAAATAGAGAACAATAGCTTTCGACAAATGACGCGGTGGTCTAGTGGTTAAGACGTTCGTCTCTCAATCCGAGGACAAACGTTTCAACTCCTGGCAATGCAACAAAATTTAATAGCCTGAGAAATTTCGGTGTGATTTGGAATGTTTAAAACAGTTAAAAGACTTCTCGGTCTTTCCGAAAGACTGTAAATTGAAAAAAATTTGAAATAAAAACTTAAAAAAAATTATCGCGTTCAAAAGTACCTAAAAATTTAAAGAAGCGCACAAGTAAAAAAAATTTTAAAAACACGTGTCTTCTAAAAAGCCTGCAAGTGAAGAAACGGTCAGACGGAAAAAAATTAAACAATTTCCCGCTTTTAAAAAACTCATGTTTACTTACCTTAATTTTTTTTCACGAAAATTTGACAGGGTGATTTTCTCGAGAGTGAAAAAATTTAATTTTTTTCACTTTTTTGAAATTCTCTTAGATTTTCCTTTTGACGAAAAAGTATTTTGTCTTGGGCTACCTGTGTCAAGCCAGACACAGGTAGCCCAAGACAGACACAGGTAGCCCAAGACAAAATACATCTTCGTCAAAAAAAAAATCTAAGAGAATTTCAAAAAAGTGAAAAAAATTAAATTTTTTCACCCTCGAGAAAATCACCCTGTCAAATTTTCGTGAAAAAAAATTAAGGTAAGTAAACATGAGTTTTTTAAAAGCGGGAAATTGTTAAATTTTTTTCCGTCTGACTTTCTTCATTTTCAGGCTTTTTAGAAGACGCGTGTTTTTAAAACTTCTTTTGCTTGTGCTCTTCTTTTAATTTTCAGGTACTTTTGAACGCGATAATTTTTTTTAAAGTTTTTTTATTTCAAATTTTTTTCAATTTACAGTCTTTCGGAAAGACCGAGAAGTCTTTTAACTGTTTTAAACATTCCAAATCACACCGAAATTTCTCAGGCTAATTTTGTTGCATTGCCAGGAGTTGAAACGTTTGTCCTCGGATTGAGAGACGAACGTCTTAACCACTAGACCACCGCGTCATTTGTCAAAAGCTATTGTTCTCTATTTGACCTAATCTTTTTCGATGAATTTTAAATTAAATAGTAATTTTGGTGGGAAAAATCGAACCTTTCCCATGCAGGATTCGAACCTACCCTTACAACCTGATAGGCCGAACCCTTAACCACTGGGCTACCTCAATAACATATATGTTAAGGCTGCTATCAACAACCAATCCTACGGCCCAGTGGTTAAGGCTACGGCCTACCAGGTTGTAAGGGTAGGTTCGAATCCTGCATGGGAAAGGTTCGATTTTTCCCACCGAAATTACTATTTAATTTAAAATTCATCGAAAAGGATTAGGTCAAATAGAGAACAATAGCTTTCGACAAATGACGCGGTGGTGTAGTGGTTAAGACGTTCGTCTCTCAATCCGAGGACAAACGTTTCAACTTCTGGCAATGCAACAAAATTAGCCTGAAAAATCTCGGTGTGATTTGGAATGTGTAAAACAGTGAAAAGACTTCTCGGACTTTGCGAAAGACTGTAAATTGAAAAAAATTTGAAATAAAAAAACCAAAAAAGAATTATCGCGTTCAAAACTACCTGAAAATTAAAAGAAAAGCACAAGTAAAAAAAGTTTTAAAAACACGTGTCTTCTAAAAAGCCTGCAAGTGAAGAAACGGTCAGACGGAAAAAAATTAAACAATTTCCCGCTTTTAAAAAACTCATGTTTACTTACCTTAATTTTTTTTCACGAAAATTTGACAGGGTGATTTTCTCGAGAGTGAAAAAATTTAATTTTTTTCACTTTTTTGAAATTCTCTTAGATTTTTTTTTTGACGAAAAAGTATTTTGTCTTGGGCTACCTGTGTCAAGCCAGACACAGGTAGCCCAAGACAGACACAGGTAGCCCAAGACAAAATACATCTTCGTCAAAAAAAAAATCTAAGAGAATTTCAAAAAAGTGAAAAAAATTAAATTTTTTCACCCTCGAGAAAATCACCCTGTCAAATTTTCGTGAAAAAAAAATAAGGTAAGTAAACATGAGTTTTTTAAAAGCGGGAAATTGTTAATTTTTTTCCGTCTGACGTTCTTCATTTTCAGGCTTTTTAGAAGACACGTGTTTTTAAAACTTTTTTTACTTGTGCTTTTCTTTCAATTTCAGGTACTTTTTGAACGCGATAATTTTTTAGGGGTTTTTTATTGCAATTTTTTTCAATTTACAGTCTTTCGCAATGGCCGAGAAGTTTTTTAACTGTTTTAAAAGCTTCCAAATCATACCGAAAATTTTCAGGCTAATTTTGTTGCATTGCCAGGAGTTGAAACGTTTGTCCTCGGAGTGAGAGACGAACGTCTTAACCACTAGACCACCGCATCATTTGTCGAAAGCTATTGTTCTTTATTTGACCTAATCCTCTTCAAATAATTTGAAATTAAATAGTAATTTCGGTGGAAAAATCAAACCTTTCCCATGCTGGATTCGAACCTACCCTTACGACCTGGTATGCCGTAGCCTTAACCACTGTGCCACGGATCATACGTTGCTACCAACCTTACGATATAGATATTAATCCGCTGGCCCAATCTTTTTAGAAGAACATGTTTTCAATTCTTTTTTTAATTTTGATTTTTTTTTCAATTTTCAAGTACTTTTGAACGCGATAATTTTTTTTCAGTTTTTTTTATTTAATTTTTTTTCCATTTACAGTTTTTTAAACATCGAAATTATACCGAAATTTTTAAGGCTATTTTTTTGCATTGCCAGGACATAAGAAGAAAAACATTTTGAGGCGAGAAAAAAATTGACAAAAAAAATTTTGGGTACAAGAAAAATAATGTCGATACGAAAAACAAATAGAAGACAAGAAAAGAAAGTTTGACGTAAAAAAATTGACACGGGAAAAAATTAACAGGAAAAAAATGTGGACACAAGAAAAGAATTTTGACAGGAAAAAAGTTGTCAGCCTGGTAATGCCGTAGCCGTAACCATTAGGCTACCGGGTAGTGTGTTGATACCTTGTGAATATTTTGAAAAAAAGACCCTAAAAATGGCTTCAAATGCTTCTTCCTGTGCTTCCTAATTTGGGTACAAGAAAAATAATTTTGATACAAATAACAAATAGAAGACAAAAAAGAAAAGACATTTTGACGTAAAAAATTTTGACACAAAAAAAAATTGGACACAAGAAAAAAATTGTCAGGGAAAAAATTGGACAGAAGAAAAAAAATTGTCACCCTGGTAAGGCCCTAGCCGTACCCATGCCACTAGGCCACGGGGTCGTGTGATGATATGAAAATATGAAATTTGACATAAAAAAAATTTTGACACGAAAAAAAATTTCAAACAAGAAAAAAAATTGACAGGAAAAAAATTTGGGTACAAGAGAAAAAAATTTTGACACGAAAAACAAATAGAAAACAAGAAATGAAATTTTGACGGGTAAATAATTTTGAAACAAGAAAAAAATTCATTGAAAAAAATGTCGACATAAAAGCAAAAAAATTTAAAACAAGAAAAAAAAATTGACAAGAAAAAAAAATTGGACGTGAAAAGAAAAATTTTTGATGCGAGAAAAAAAAATTGACAAGAAAAAAATTTGGGTAGAAGAAAAATAATTTTGACACGAATAACAAATAGAAGACAAGAAAAGACATTTTCACGTAAAAAATTTTTGACACTAGAAAAAAAATTCGACACAAGAAAAAAATTGTCAGAAAAAAAAATTTGTCTAAAACAGTTCTAATACAGAGGAAACAAAAATTTGGACACCAAAAAATTGGTCACAAGAAAAAAAATTGGACAGAAGAAAAAAAATTGTCAGCCTGGTAAGACCGTAGCCGTACCCATGCCACAAGGCTACCAGGTCGTGTGTTGATATAAAAATATGAAATTTGACATAAAAAAATATTTCGGTACAAGAGAAAAAAATTTTGACACGAAAAACAAATAGAAAACAAGAAAAAAATTCTGACTTAAAATTATTTAGTTCTAACAACGTTATGATATATAAGGTCCGGAAAATCCTTTTCTGTTGCAATATATCAGTTATTATAACAACTGCCTGACTGAGGGTAAAACTCTTTGAATAGAGTTTCTTGCCTCCAATACCCGACCCCTGCCCCGCGACCAACTGTGTCGTGAGTTATAATCTAGTTAAATTAAAATATATTTTGATGAAGGGTTTTTTTTTGGCAGTTATAAGTACTATTTGAAATATACAAACTCTCCAGAGGAAAGCCCTTAGTAGCCTTATTCGCAGGCATCTCCCTACAGCATGAATTTCAAAATGATCGAGAAGTGTTTTTGTCTATTTTAGGCAATTGTTAAATCACATTTGAAGAGGAATAATATTAGTTAAAAATTTACTATTTTGTGAAAATGATAAAATAACTGTCAGTTATATCATGCAATTATTAAACAACTAATATAGATATCTAATCTATAGTGAATTCTACGTGCATAATAGTTCGTTTATTAACAAATTTCACCAAACTATAACTACTCTATAAGGGACAGTCTATATGATGATGGGATAAAGATGGAGTCATTTGCTCTAATTAATGCCAACAATAAAGAGCAGTACTGTTTTATAGTTTGGTATCACCATGAAGGAAATTAATCATTAACTTACATAAATTGTTATCTGTAAACAAGACTGCTGCCTGTTTATGAAAAGCAAACTGCTCCAATATCAATTCCAAATTCTTCATTTTCATCCCCAACGTCATAAACAGCAATATCACGCAGAGGGAGTCGAACAGTATTGACTGTATTAACGTCGATTGTGGTTTTATGCCAGTTGCCATCTTTCACCTATAAAAAAGCTATACGTGTTTCATTCATTTCGTCTACGGTCCCTCCGTCAATCAGAGCGATTCCCTACCTTACAATCATCTTGGAAGGCTACAGGTCGAAATTTTCGGGCACGTAGCGCATGATATTCAAGACCATTATCTCCAAGCATCTTAACATAATCTCTTTCAATATTTTCATTATTTCGCCAGGCAAACGAGTTGCGACAATGATAAGTAATACTCTGCGATGCTTTAGTTGATAAGATTTGCAAAAATTTCATTTGATTGCCATCAAGTTCATAAACAATCTAAAATGAGGTAATCGTAAAAAACCCAAAGCAATTTTAGTAAAGGGATTAGAAAATGATAGGAATTCAGTTGTATTGGATAAATTTAAAAGAATACAAACTTGTGAATCATACACCACTTCTTTAATTATCCAATGAATACAAATTGGTATAAATTCACCCCCGGCCTCATGCTTGTTACCTTTTTAAAGTTTCCGAGTTCCTCTCCAACCCAAATGTAACGATCATTACCTGTGTACCACTTTTTCTTTTCTACCTGTGTTGACGCAAAAATATTCGTGGAACTGTTAACTCATATTATTTCTCTAACTCTTCTAAATTTGTTTTACCAATGAGAAAATAAAGCAATTGAAGAATTAAACCTCCAAAGTCTCGTAGAAAATTTACTGAGGTTTACTATTATTAACCAATCCACTAATCGTTATCATTGACAGTGACAGATCCAAGCTTAGGCAGAATAAATTACCTGGCTTTATTCTAAATTTAGTTTATAGCGCGATGGGATGAACTTCAAAAGAATATTTTTGATTGAAAATCTACCAATGAGGTGGCAAATTAAAGTTGTAGAAATTTATTCTGCCTTACCCTGGTTCCGTTACTTGGTCTGGTCATTGCATGGTTGTTATCAGCCGCTCTGATTAAAGAGCAATGTGTACGGCAAAGCTTGTAGCTACATTTCCTACCTCGGATATTTTTGGTGAAATACATGTAGACAGGTTTTCAAAATCACAAAAGACTAAAACAGCATCATTTGGTACTCCACCATTTGGATCAATCCAATATTTCCCTACAAGAAACCCATGTATTTTGATACAATTAAAAACTCATGTAGTTCAGTGAGTCGGCGAGTTGGGAGGGTATATAGTATAGTATCAAGCATAGTTTCATAAAGTACAAAATAATAAACAATTTGTGTTTTATCGAAATACTGAATGACAGCCCTAGAGTTGTGTAGGTGTTATTTTGCACGTAACGACACTGAGGCAGCGCCTTTTGTTCCCAGGTCTGCCCAAAAAACCAATAAACATGCCAACTGTAAACTTTACCTGATTTTAACGAAGGCAGCGAATTTTTTAAATCCTTGCAAGTTCTTGAGGGAAACTGTTTGCTTCCATTGACATGTGCCAACAACTGAAAATCATCTATAACATTGCTTATACCACGTAGTACCTTTACCTGAAAAACGACAAGTACCAATCCATATCAGCTACTGCGTAGTTGATTCATAAGGTAAAATGTTACCGCGAACTCAACCAAATCGTGCTATTTATCGTATATTTTGCGCATTACTTTCAGTTTTATGTGAAATTTCCACCAAGGGCAAATATACCTCAATATCAAAGATTCTTAACATTACAGTATATGACTTCCAAATTCTAACACGACCATTGTATAGCAGACCTACCATATTCCTTTCGTCTGTATTGTAAGAAAGACTGTTGGTATTTATTTCATCAATCATGCTTAACTGCAAAAAATACAACAAGATTAGAATTAATGTGAAGATATACAACGTGTGAAGGGCTGTTCACATGACCCCAGTTACTCCAGATTTACCGAAGCGTAAAATAACTTTGTTGTGATGTATTTTAATACCTCAAAATCACTCTGGCTTCGTTAAACCTCAGGTAACTAGGCACATGTAAACAGCCCCTATAAAGGTTTCGAAGCTATCGTCGTTTAAATGCTTGGGTTAGAAACTAATTTAGGAATTGCAAACATTAAAAAGGCTAATTTCCCGCCCAGGTTCTGACAAGGTAATAGACGACGAGGACGGAAGCTCTCTGTGCTTTTTAGAGTGGATGAATAGGTCTAATTGTGATTGAGGTTTTTCGAAAGCTTTCTCCTAATTAAGAAAATTACCACTTTGCTTTGGTAGTATTCAGGTGATCGGGTTTCACGAGCTCGCTATAGAAAATGAAATATAAAAAATGAAATAGAGAAAATGACTGAGAATTTGCTGTGATAATGTTAGGGCTAGCTTCTATATAATACGATCTATCATATGACTAAACGTCGATGATCAAATCGATTAAATGAAAAATATAGATCTTCAAAAACGAGGGAGACTTGTAAATTGTCTGGAATGTGATGAAACACAAAAGAACAATGACATTATGAGACTTACCCCTCTCCCTGGAGGTCCTGGTAGACCTGGACGGCCAGGTGGACCCTATACAGTCAAACCAAAAGAAGTTCGCTTATATTATGTCAGTCAATGTTATAGCTACTTGTAAATGTTTCTGAGAAATAAAAATACTCATATAATCTCTAACCTGTAACCCACGTGGACCCTGTATAGGAAGTAAGAATAACAATAATAGATTATTGTAAAACGTCAGGGTTATGAATAGCAGACCAAATCATTACTGATATCTTTACGTGATTTACAAATGATTTTCTGAGGATAATTATAATATCGTTGTCGTAAGTCAAGTATTATTTTATGTTAGAATTTCATATCAGAATACTGCACGTTAGCTGTACCTTAGGTCCCGTGCTTCCCTAAATAAGAAAGTAAATTCACATGATGAGAGTCGAGACCTATGTCAAATAGAAATCCATTTTTCTCGGTTAAAACAATAAATTTCTCTTGAAATATTACTATAATCCGATCTCAAATTCTTATCAGAACTGTATAGTTCTTATAACTAAACATAATAAACAAATTTCGACGGGTTCCATAAAGAATGATCTAATCAATTTTAACTGTGGTTAAATACTGCAGAATTGAGATATAACTTGGAAAAGGCCTTGCGATACAATATGCAAATATACTCACAGTTATACCGACGTATCCACTAGAACCAATTTCGCCCTAAATGTAAAACGCACTTCGTATTTTATAGCTCGTTAATTAACCCCCCCCCCCTCAAAAAAAAATTTTTTTAGAAAAAACAAATATAGTGTTAAAGATTAAATGTATTCATGGCAACCTTGCATTACTGAATTGTAACGATTGAGGTACCTTTCCTCCTGCCAACCCTGGAGGGCCAGGTCTTCCAAGGTCCCCTGTGTCACCCTTAAGAAAAAATACAGAACATATGCGGTCTTCTAGCTGAAGAAACTTTACTAACAGCCGCACTTTTCTGGCGGGCAATGAATTAAATGATATACATATTAATTTATCGTGTATCACATGCACGATATATTTTATTTACATGATCCGTCTATATATCACACATGTACTCACCGAAGGTCCTTGAATCCCGGGCAGCCCTGGTTTACCTTTGGAACCGGTATATCCCTTTAAAGAGAATAGAGAAAGCTCTCAAATTTTCAAAGCTATCAGCATCTGAAGTATTAAGTTGGAGAGAGCAAAAGACAAACGCTAAGTGTTGACTTAACACAGGGTTTGCTGTAACGGTTTCATGGATACACCAGAGCTACCTTTCTTTTATTAAATCAATAAATGGCAGCTCTTTACATACGTATTCCCCAGGTTGCCCAGAATGCCCCTGTCCCCCTCTTTCACCTTTAATTCCCTACGACAAAAAGTATGAATAATAACTTCAACTCAAGTTGCTGTCTCAAACATTCCTGAGAACATTCCTTTGCATAATGTTGATAACGTGAAGGTTCTACCTTTTGACCGGGAACACCTTGTATTCCACGCTCACCAATCAACCCGCTTTTTCCCTGTAAAGTTAAACAGTCTCCATTTAAAAAAATCATTTAGCTTTGTTGTTTATAATCAAGTATTTAACGTTCACAATCCCCAAATTCTACAGAAACTTTCCCTTTGCAAGAAGATGTTCCATACCTTAATCCCCTTACTTCCTTGAGGTCCCTCAGGTCCTTCCCGTCCATCAGGTCCCTATATATTATCCAAAAATATTTTATAGTTTTTAAGGTAACAGACGACGAGAAGGCAGATAAACTTACTTTTTCACCAGATTCTCCGCGTAATCCTTTAATTCCAAGTCCTCCAGGTCGTCCTGCTAAACCTGTTGAACCGATTTTACCAACTGACCCGACATCGCCTTGCATTCCCTGGGATCATAAGCAAAACGTAGCTTTGGTAAACCAAACTACAGAATTTATTCATACTGTGTACATTATGCCCACTTACCCGTTCTCCAGGTGCCCCATTTCGACCTTTAGTTCCCTTTGATCCCCTCCTACCCTGCAGCGTTAAGACAGTATATTTGATTAAAAAGAAACCCCTTTTTAGGAGCAAGTTCAGATTTTTTGAAATATACTGTATTCATAGTGGGTTCTTTGTCTACCTCTGAGCCCTGCTGTCCTTTATCTCCACTCGCACCAGACGGGCCTCTCACTCCCTAATAAGAACAACATTAATACATTGTAACATCTTACTACTAAGAACGGTTTGTCGTAGGTCATTGGTATACCCAATGCCTTGAAACACACACGCGTTATCGTTAAAGATAAAAACAAACTATTTTTCAATTTTATCGCCGCGTACTACTTTGAAAGACTGATTTTTCAAATTGCACTTCAGACACATTGATATAGATTGGCAAGTATGGTTGGCGTATACCTTCTCTCCAGAGACGCCCTTTTTGCCATCGTCTCCATCATCGCCTTTTTTACCCTAAAACACAAACCGTACCTATCACCACGCCCAGGTGCAGCATACAATACAATATCTTAATATATCTTAATATCATACATAACCAAGGTGAATGTTCTTACCTTCTCACCTGGGGGTCCAGATGAACCAACAACCCCCCGTAACCCTGGAACACCCTAAATATATCACATGATTGGAGAATTTACTTCCAAATTTGTACGCATGTACTAGTACTCATTATCATCTAATAACAACTTTTTGCATAGCAGAGACTTTACAGGTTGGTTTCTGGCGGGGAAATTTGATTATAAAAGTATAGTAAGGGTAGTAAGGTATCAGTAATATGAAATAGCTATACAGTTTGGGTGGATATTTTGTTATTAATAACAAATTGCTATGTTTGTATTTTAACCTTATCACCAACGACGCCAGTTTCTCCGGTTTCACCAAATTGACCTGGGGGACCCTAAAAAATCAAGAACATAAACTGACAATCTGAGCATCGGTGCAGACATAACAATTCCTAATCGCTAAAATAATGTTAAATTCCCGAAGAAAAGTTAATTTTTGAGACTCCCAACTGGAGATCTAACAAAAGGTTTCTAGTAGTTGCACCAGCGTTCTGGTGCCGTACGTTATTATTATGTTCAAGTTGGCTGCATTTATATTGGTATTTATAAACTCACCGCATAACCGACATCACCAAAACTCCCTTTTTTCCCAGTTTTACCAGTTTTACCCTAATACAAAAATGACATTGTTAAGATCGCCTGTTGGTCATACACAAGCCAATTTACAGTATAATTATATAAAAATATACTGTGTCAAAATACTAACCTGAAGTCCTTTTTGACCGACATCCCCAGAATATCCCACTTCACCCTTATCACCCTGTAAACATGATGAATTAATAAACTCAGTTATACGAAAATTGTCCAGCAGAATAAAGAGTTACAATAATAAAAGTGACAGACAGAAAAACAATTAGGATAGAATCATCGTAACGATCGCGTAATTAAAATTTACCTTCTGACCACTGGCACCAGCGTCTCCTAGCTTCCCTGAAGAGCCTGTCTCGCCCTGGTTAATAATATTGGATCAGTTTAGAAAAAAGCAGAATGTGTAAAAGTTTCAGTACTTTACTAGTTTTACATCATATGATTCCGAAAGCTCCTAACATAACAATACGTACGTAAATGATACAGTACCTGCGTACCAGATGGTCCTTGAAAACCGTTAGCTCCTTGTTCGCCTTGAATACCCTATAGTTAAAGAGGTACAGGGGATACTATCTTATATTAAAATACAATTATATAAAACTACAGTACTGCATTTGCAAATATATGAAAAATAATAAACCAATACCTCTTCCCCTGTATCACCGCGTGAACCTTTTTCACCTGTCTTTCCTCGCTCACCCTGTAATAGAATGACGGGTTCAATGAACAAACATGAATGGTAAAAAGATTTTCCTTAATACAGTACTCGGACTTGGTAAATGTACCTTTTTACCACGCTTTCCTTGGCTTCCAAGATTACCATCATCACCACGTTGTCCCTGAAATATTTCAAATATACAATAATTATAATAAGCTGCACGAAAATAGGACATGATAAAATTGTAATCTATAAAATTTCTAGCCAGTCGAAGAGTCGGAGCTTGTACTTTGAAGGAATTTAAATATATTTTAACTGCAGACAGGGGTGACAAACAACACACTGTGTGTATTTACGGTACTTGATCAAATACTGGTATTACCATACATTACCACTCTAATACCATATTCCCGCGTACTTACAACAGTTACATTGCTTGCAAAGATAAATATTATATTACGTCTAAAGATAGTTTAGTTTACAACGATAAATTCACTTACCGATGGGCCTTTCAAACCAGCCGTACCAACGGCCCCAGTATCACCTTGTAAACCCTAAGAACATTGTCAGTCCACAGTTCAAATAATCAGTTTTTTACTAAGGATAGACGGTAGTATAGGCTGTATCACTTCCTTTAGACCACCAAAAAATTTATAATTTTTTATGCAGTTTTTTATCGACAAGTTTTACATTATTATCACCTACAAAACCCGCTGCATACTAGATTTATAACTCAAACATAGTGTAAGACGAAGAAGCATAAAAATACTCCATACCATTAAACCTCTTTTCCCAATAGTACCTTCGCTTCCTCTTGCACCTTGAGCGCCCTTAACAAAGAATAATGTTGTGCATTGGATTTTAACTACGGTACAAGTAAGATGCTTTTAAAAAAAACCAGAATTAATATTTTACCTTTGATCCATCAACGCCAGCTCTCCCCGAAGAGCCTCGCTCGCCCATGGGTCCCTAAAACATCGTAAAAGAATATGAAATACTAGAAACAGATCGGATCATGTATAAAGAAGTAAGAAATTGACAATCACTGAAGCATAAAGAACTGATGAAGAATTTCAAACCTTGATACCACTGAAGCCCATATCTCCCATGCTGCCTTCAGTTCCACGAAAGCCCTAACATTTTAAAACATTTTTAATTTTAAAATTATCCTCTTATGATGTATAGTATACACCACAAACATAAAAATCATGACTTTTAAAAGAAAACATCACATAAAGACTTCAACCAATGTGTTATTAAAAGTCTAAAATATTAATTATACTTACTGCTGATCCAGGATTTCCGTTTTTACCAGATTCTCCTGTTTTACCAGGATCACCCTATTCATAGAAACATAAAAAGTTTTTGTTGTCAGAAAAACTAATGGACCCTGAAGGGACATACAGCATAGCAACTCAAGAGTGTTAAATGTCAAGAGAAATAAAATTTGGGTGATTGTGGGCAGCTGATATGTATATGGCTAAGTCACAATATATTTCAATCTTTGTAATCATTTTCTTTCTGGGTATCTACTGGCTACAACTTTCACCTTTGTGATGGAACAGTAAAGTATGAAAAATATCAGTAATACCTTTTCACCTTTTTCTCCTGGGCGACCTCGCAAGCCTTCTAATCCATCTGAACCCTGTTAAGAGAAAATACAGGAAAAGAAGAGAAAAATGACAAAATGAAGCCACCAAATGACACTAGCACATCACAAGATCTACACACCTGAAGACCATTTTCTCCATTACTGCCAGGTGAGCCCTCCTGGCCAGGAAGACCCTAGTAAATATAATGACTCAAAGAATTTGTCTTGGATTTCAGAGTAGGATGTCTAGTATCTTACTCATGGCAATTGTATTTGTTAAGGGGAGTGGAGAATGAATTCAGTAAAAATTGCCCAACTCTCAAGTACAAATTACCTGCCTAATCTTAATTCTGAACAATCTGAGAGGCTAGCTGCATCCCCCTTGCCTCTTACAGCTAAAATCTTACCCTCACACCAGGCATCCCTTCAACTCCTTGCCTTCCCTTGTATCCATGCTCACCCTGCAAGAAACAATGGGTTCTTTGTTACAAACAATGGTCCTATTAAATTACAGACAGGAGCCTTATTTTTGTAAAGAATCATACTTTACAGAGATAAAAAAAATGAAAGATTACGATAACAAGCAAACAGGCAAATAATGGTCTGGATTAATGCTCACTTCCACTTAATCCATCAGGATTGTTCATTATTTACAAGACAGTTAATTTTCTTGCAGAAGAACTACTCTGGGTACGAAATGTAAAAGGACTATAGCTATCAACATACAACATGCTTCAATACAGTTGCATATGTTATACCTCATCACCTGAAAGTCCAGCTGTTCCGGCATCTCCCTTTTGACCCTGTGAATTGACAAATTTAATTTTATTTAGAAATTATGGAATATATGAGAATAATTTTAAAGTTTTGTAACCTTACTTTCTCTCCTCCTGCCCCTAATTGGCCTGGATCCCCATTTCCACCCTGAAACAAAAGTGGGAGACATTTAAACATGAACTTTTGATTTAAAACTATTTAGAATTGTAATCTATCTAGAAGATAATCTAATCTTCACCTTTTCTCCATCATTCCCTGTCACCCCTGGATCACCAATTTGACCATTTTCACCCTTCAAATACAACACTAGTACTTGGATCAAACTTAATCCTGATCAGTATGTATAAATAGCAATAAATTGCATCTTATTTCCAAAAAGTAAACAAAAATCAGTGTAAGATGAACATACCGGTAATCCTGATTCTCCCATGTCGCCTTTTTCTCCTCTCTCACCAGAATCACCCTACACAAACATTCTCATCTTAATTAATAAATTGTTCAAATTTTCAGATACACTATTTGTCTCAAGCATGTTTCTTTTCTGAAGTACTAAATATAGAGTTGGACTCACTTTGATTCCATTTCTTCCAGCTGTACCATCATCACCATCCGGACCATTATTTCCCTGTGTAATAAAACATATTTAATAAATAAAACATTAAATGAAGTCATAAACCAAGAGACCACCTAGTGAATATTCTTTTCATATCAAGGGAAAAAATATTTCAGTGTGGTGAAGAATTACATGATATATTCAATTACTTTATATTTAATAATGTAGGTACCTTATCTCCTTGATCTCCAGGTGAACCTTGTTGTCCTTGTTCACCATTTCCACCCTATTTTAAATAAAGACATTTAATGACATATTGGAGAAATATAACTAAAAAGTAAATGTGTGTCATGGTGAGTGATTTTTTAAGTTCCTTGTGGTAATCTAAGATTTGACCTACAATTAACATCACACATACCTGTTTACCTTTTTCACCAGAGATGCCACCAGGTCCAGGCTGTCCAAGGGCACCCTGCAAAAACAATTGATTACATAATTTAATAATTAAGAGTACAGGTAGCCCGATAGCCGGCATGCACACCGTAGTATGTATTATATATTGTTTTATACACAATATATAATACATACTACCATGTATGCACCGGCCATCAAGCTATTGTGGTAAGAGTGGATCTTTATAACCAAATGGATGCACATGGGAAAAGCAAGAACTCTTAGACTGCCACACCAATCAAGGCTGATGCATTGTTTACCTCCAAACCAGTCACTCCCCTGTCTCCTCTATCACCAACACCTCCCTAGGAAAAACAAAAAAAAACATTCAACCAAGTTTCACCTAAATTGATAAAGCCTTAAAATACTACACATTTAGCCATATGAAGGCCATAAAGATAGCTAAAAGACATTTTACCTGCATGCAGGGCCTTTTTGCAGGCTCAGTACATGGGCATGCATGCAACCTCCTGATTCAAGGTGAAAATTTACTTACGTTTGCCCCTCGCAAACCCCTATCACCTACTTCACCGGGTTCACCAATGTCACCCTGTAATCAAATTCATTGAGAAACAATTTCAATATTATTTCACAGATTTCAATATTATTATCTCTATAGAGATAACATTACTGTACATATACACTCCACTGAATACATTCCAGTGGCGTCGCTGGAGAGAGGAACTGGGGAAGTTCTTGTCATAACCAAAAGTTCTAGTCATAACTACAGAGAGATCTCATTACTTCTCATTGCTATATTAAATCAGACGAGATAGCATAGGGTACTTGCTATTTTAGATCGTATTCAAGAATGTAAATATCCATGTTCTAGGTATTTATATCAAAGAACATTCGCTTCGTTTCATTTTAAAAGACATACAGTCATGGTCACTCTTACGTCTAATCCATTCGCCCCAGGTAATCCGCTAGGTCCTTCATCACCCTGGCAGAAATGTAAAGGTTTTTCAAATTATTGCACATATACAAGCTAAGGGAAACGTTGTACACTACATTATGTACAGTAGTACAGTACACAAAACGTTGTGTGACATTAGGTTTTTTACGTCATCTTGCGAGCGGACCGAACAGTCTATTCACTCTATTGTCTACAAAAGTATTACCCCTGCTATTACCTCATCACCTTCTTCCCCGTCATCACCGGGCAGACCTTCATCACCATCACCGCCCTAAAACCAGGTGGAATTAATAGAGAGAGTATATATATCCTATTGTATCGCATATAACAAGCGATGTCAGCACATGTTTCACCACTCTCAGTCTCTCACGCTCAGTTATACAGCTTAGCCACAGTTTGGCGAGAGTTAGAGTTGTTCTAAAGCTAGTTGCCTCAACCCTAGATCGATTGAACAGGGACTTACTAAACGTCTATTTTGTTGAATACCCGTTAAGAGAGATCCTAAGTCTCACCTGAGAACCAGCTTCTCCTGCTCTTCCTTGAAAACCCGCATCACCTTTGAAACCCTAAATACGTCACAGAAAGAAAGAGGTTGATTGATATCTAATGATATCATTAAAACAAACTGCAGTGCCTGAAGTAACCTTCGTTCCTAAAACGCCAACATTTCCTGCAATTCCTAGATCACCGTCAGTGCCCTGTAAGAAGACACAGGGAGAATATTTTAATTTGCAAAATTGCAAAATAAACCTTTGTTGTAAACCTTTTATTACGATGGCTAATCTCAGTCGTATCGTATTACAACACTCACAGTTTTTCCATCTGAGCCTGCTTGTCCATTTTCTCCTTGAGATCCAGCATCTCCCTGAAGATAAAATTAAACTTTCTATTTTCAGTTCAGGGTAATGACGATTTGTTTAGAACATAGAACAAACTATCTATTTATTCTATTTGCACAATGAACGTGTGTAATTTTTTGGCTTTTTTTTTCAAGCACAAACTGCATAATGCAATAATGCATATACCATTGGTCCTTTTTCGCCTTTTTTTCCAGGAGGTCCTGGGGCACCTTGTTCTCCCTGAGAGAATAATATTAAAGCAATATTATCGGTGACGAAACAATAAACAGTAAGCAGTGAGATCGCTCCGTTTACACAGCTTCATGAGACGTAATCGTCCATTCAGTTTCTAATACTGTGGATAGCATGATGGCATAAAAGTTCACGTTCAAGTTATAATTTCTCCTCGGAGACGATTTCATTTACCACGCAGGCCATATATCTAAAAGTATAATCTAAGGCACAATACATGTGGCTTATTTTAGCAGAAACCGCACTTTACCCGCGTGGGAAGTCTATGGCCACTGTGGTGGACAAAATATTTTCAAAAAGAGAAACCGGCTTTTTTTTTCTACAAATTGCAATTTCAGTTGATCACCTTCTCTCCAGACGCTCCAGAAATACCAGGAGCTCCAGTGGTTCCCTATATGTAAAGTAAAGAACAATATTCATATTCGGTTGCCTGACCAAAGCCCTGTCCCGGAAACCCAGGTTTCAAATTTGCATTTTCCCCAGCACTTCTCCCACTAGTCTGCAGAACATTTATGTCGTATCACACTCAAAATTTTCACTATACAACTATTTACATGGATTAATATCCATTCACACATTCTGATACAGTTCATCATTCTTACAAGACAAAGCATATGCTCCCTGTATATTTGCAAGTTGAGTAAATTTTGTATGTTAGAATTGTAGATAAAATCAGTTTCATACGTATATTAGCAATTAATGACCAACCTATGTGCAATTAGTAGTTTTCTGTTGGTGGTTTAGAAAATCTCATTCAAATTGTTTAAATCCTTCGACAAATATAACATCGTTGTTTGTTGACCTTACCGGTTCTCCAACTGGCGCAGAAGACGGTGCACCCAAACCTGAAGCACCCGAATCACCCTTTCGAAGAAAAAACACGAGAATTTTATTAGATACTTTAAAGTATTGAGTGTTGCAATTTTCTTCTCTTTATAGATATAATTATAAACTGTATATCTCTATGTTATTCATATAAGTTCAATATATTTACTCTACCTGTTCTCCTTTAGGTCCCATCATTCCAGGTTCCCCTTGTCTACCATTTACCCCTCCGTCTCCATCTCTACCCCGAGGTCCCATATCTCCTTTTTTCCCTCCACTACCATTTTCACCCTTTTTTCCCCACCATCCTGTAAATCCGGCAAGCCCTGGTGAGCCAATATCTCCTGGCATCCCTGGATCACCTTGATGTCCCTAAGCAAATAATTGAAGTTTTGAAAATACAAATAAGATACTGAATAACCCAAAAATGATACTAAATTTATTATTTAATTATAGGTTTGAAAACAGTTGCAGTCTCTTGGTAATATGAGTGTTTAAAATTTCAAGCAACTCTAGATCGGGTGGAACTTCGAATCCTTTGTGATCATTTTTTATCTGAGCACGTTATCTTACTAGAATACTACAACATTTCCCGTTGTGGGAGATGTAAAGGGAAACCTTTTCGACGCCACATTGGTTAGCGCAGGTTCGTTTTCCGTTTCCACGTTTTTTAACCTGCTATCAGATTGAACATTTTTCAATAACTCACTGAAAATACTGCTCTGTAACGTCAATAACTACCTCCTGTCCAGACCTTCCTGGAAATCCTCGACGTCCCTTCAAACCCTTATCACCTTTGGTTCCTAATCCTCCGGGTTGTCCTGTTTCACCATTCTTACCCTTAAATTTATAAAAAATTATAATCTTCACGAGAAACCATAATTATGACACTAATTGGGAGAGGACAACACCTCCAGCTCACATATAAAAATGGGATCATAGGGTGGGCAGGGTTACGTATGACCTCGTCGATTTCTGATGCAGGGGGTACAGTATCATGCAATACTTTATAATAAAAGTTGGTTTATAGAATAATGGACATATACGCCATATTATTTATACTTTCTGATACGCCAGAAACTCACCGGTCTTCCTTTGGGTCCCGGTCCTCCGCTGCGGCCTTTAGTACCCTTGCAAAACAATGCAATGTGCATGTTGTTCAATTGTCTGCAGGCAAGCAGATTTTTCCTACTGCAAGCAAGCAGATTTTTCCAAACGCAAAATACGTACAGTAACTACGTATTAGTAACTACGTATTACCAATTGTAAAACAGCAAATTTCGAAAGATTTCATCAAGGATTTCAACTTATGAAAGGAGATTTTTTAAACTCCATTATTAATCACAAAAATGACGTAATGAATTGCTTCATGAAATCACCGGATTCCTGTCCATTTGAACGTTTGCTGTATGTATTTATTATTATATCATTCATTCAAATAGTTTGATTACCTGTTCCCCCCGGGTTCCTTTCAAACCATCCCTACCAATTTCACCATCATATCCCTACGCAAAATTATATCAACGACTAAATGAGAGAACTGAATTTAGCGGCGTCTGAAAAAAAATTTAGACAGATATGCTACTTACTGTTCTTCCGAGTGTACCAGGTGCGCCTTGTGATCCTTGGTCTCCATCACGTCCCTTGAAAAAGACATTGAACCATGATGTCACTGAGTGCTTATGTGATTTTCATCGTGTTTCCCACACATGGGGAAAAGAACCCACAAAATTAAGATATTAATACCGCTTTTCCATATCTTCCTGGGCGACCTCTGTGTCCTCGATTTCCTAGTTTTCCCTGCAACGTAATTATTTTACAGTAATTTATGTATATCCCCCTACAGATTTCAACACGCATGTGTTCGTAGTCGCCTTACTGGATGCTGAGTGGAAGGCTGGAAAATAATGTACTTATCCGTTATACAACTATTTTCGATTTATAGAATAAAGAGCTTATTGGTACTATTGCGTCTTTTATCATCATTTGCAGCTGGTAAATACAAAGGTTTTTTACCTTAAGACCACCATACCCCCGTGATCCAACTCTGCCTGACGGACCAGGTGGTCCCTAAAATAAATTAAATATTAACATCGTCCTGAATTTAGTTTTCAGTTAAATAAATTTCCCAATATTATTAAATTCCCAAGTATCTCTTTGTAATTATCAGATTTTCAACATGGAAAGTTTATACCGGTTACAATAAGTTCAGGAGTTTTACGTTTAACTAATGGACATGTGATAAGGGTGGATATAGCTGTACCGGCAGTAACTGTCCAGGGACCAAAAGAGTTTGGTTAACAAGCCAATAAGTTACCGCCTTGCAACAAATAAAAATATTTATACTTACCATCGGTGCCGGGCTACCGATTGGACCTGGTTCTCCCACCAATCCATGCTTACCCTTTACAAGAAAGATATACGTGTTAAGAAATGCAAAAATAGAATTGTCTGGTTCGACTGTTTACATACCCTCACACCAGTCGCTCCCCTTGGTCCACGCGGGGCAAAGTAGTTACCCTACAAAACATCCAGTTGATGTAATACGGTTAACACATTTTCAAAGTAAAAAAACTGCCTTTTCTTCCTCCCCTGGTGTTAAACCCGTTCAAGAGAAGCAGTCTCTGAGTAGACCGACGATAATATTGTCTCGAACTTTCAAAACTATGACGAAAATGGAAACATTTCCTGAAAATATTTCCGTGAAGTACGTACTATGGGCTTCAAGACAAGGTCACAAAGTACTACTACATCTCCTTAGGGTTAGCTGAATTATTATTAAAGCATGCATGTATTTACTAAAATATCATTATCACTGTAAATTCAAACATTTTTTGAAAGAAAAAAACCCGCCTACCCCAATCACAACGGACGGTGTTCCAGTCCTGGGGCCTTTGGAAGCAATATTGCTAAACCGTAAAATCTAAATAAAATTGTATACACAATGAAAACAATAAAATAGTACTCTTGAGATTTTACATGGTGAGTTTATAATCAATCTGTTATTATCAACCGTCAATCTGTTATTATATGCAGAGTTTTCGGTCCGTTAACCCGGGATTTCATCAGTGAAACTTTAAAAAAACAACAAAGTAATGAATTATAATTGCGATGATGAAGGCCGAGTTAACTGACCGAAAGTTCTGCGTATAATAAATACACAGTTTGTCACAATAAACATCGTGTACAGTACTTACTATTTTTCCAGGCCACCCCTGACCACCCTGTAAACCTGAGAATCCAGCTTTCCCATTTTTGCCTGATAAACCTGATTCTCCCTGGAAAAAATTAAGTGATATCATTTCTATAACAAAGAAATATATGCGGGGAGAGAAATACCACGAAGACATGTTTTATTTAGATTATATTTATATAATAAACTACCTGTCCTCCACGACTTCCTCGTCCGCCAGGTCTTCCATCCTCTCCGCTGACTCCCTAGAAAAATAACTTTAATAATCTAAATAGAAAATTTCTAAACCGTAAATTTAAGCTCCCTCAAAAAGCCACGTGCACACTTGTCCTGAAGTCGCGGCGATGTATCGTATGGGGCCGGATCCCAAGACAAGTTTGAGTCATGCTTTGCTATTTTACTGCATTCAAACGAGGACTGGCCAGATGATTCGTTATCATCACCTTGAGTCCAGGTTCTCCATTTTCTCCTCTAGGACCTTTGATCTGAAAACAGAATGATTTTATAAATAACCCAATCTTGTGCTCAGTTTGCTGCTAATCCTTAAGTAATAAGTTCATCAAAATATTCATGTAATGTGGCGATGAAAAGTATTTGTCAAAAAAAAGGTTAAAAAAATCTTTATCGGTCGTTATACTCACCACTCGTGTGTCCTCTGAAAGAAAAAGAGATAGGTATGCTAAGAATTTATCTACGCAATGATCTTGCACTTTAAATGCATGGAAAACCCTGACCCGTGAGCAAGTGCATCAAGAAAACAGGAATATCTTTTTTTGCTGGAGCTTTGAATTTCTTAAACAAATTATGAGCCCACAATATAAATTCTCGTTGCTGTAAAACTTGCAACATGTAAAATGGCGCGCATTCAGTGTTATTTAGTCTTGAGAGTGAACATGTCAAATTTCGTAGAAAAGGTAGTAAATATAGAAAATAAAATTTAAAAATGTTGCCATTTTGCTTTAGAAATTACTAGAAACTAAGAGTAGGTCTTGACTTTTAAGTGGGTGTATATCAAGTTCACCGATGTATGTCATCGATTCCAAATCGTTGCATGTGGTTGAAGTGCGTTCACTCGTATACAGATTGCACTTGAAAGTGCAACGAATGACTGAAAGCTTTCACTCCGGAGAGTGTTTTCAAAAGTTTTCGGATGGGGTCTACGATTTCTCCAGATTTGTGTGTATATGCTAACAGCGTAACCGCAGCAACTGATGTTTGCGGCCAACGAAACTGGATATAGCTGCATGGGGAGGAGGCCCTAAGTTGACTACCCTTTGTGAGTTTAATTGATTTAACTGTCAGTATATTTGGATTTCGGCTAAAAGCTTCAATAAATTCACGCTTCTTTTAGTACATTATAAATACATCATTTTGACCCGAGCTGCATTATAAAATCCAGATGTTCCTTCATAAGGTCATGCTAGAATATAAAATAGGAAAAGCATGCATGAGACTGGACCTGCGTTTACACTACACTCGATTTATTGGCACGAAACGGCTAAAATGGGTACCCGTGCCCATTTCATCTGTGGTAGCCTGAACACTAATAAAATTAGGTACGGATACCAATTTTAACCGTGCCGTGCCGATAAATTGAGTGTAGTGTAAAAGGGGCTTTGACCACTTTCTTTCAGAATTATAAAAATCTATGCAGTCAGCTTTGATCAGGGTTACACAACTACACGAGTGCATTCCAAGTAATACGGGTAAAAACGAGTAAAATGAAGACAGGTATCAGTGCCACGAGACAATCGCTTACACGTGTAAATATCATCAGAATCATGGAACTGTTAGGAGTAGACTGAGACACCTGATGTTTTATAAAAATCGGAAGTTAGTTCAGGACAACAAGAGAGCATTGTTTTACAAGTCACATGCATACGGCAATATTTGCGACTTAATTATTTCATTTCAAATGTCGAATATTCAAAAAACGATTTCGTTATTTAGATTTTAAATCAAGGTCACTGTCCGGCTTAAAGTCATATTATGCATGCGTATTATTTTATTATTCAAGTGTGTGTCTTTGATCGCGTAATATTCCTGAAGTTAAGGAGCTGAGAATTGAATATCCGATTCAGGTGGTTTTCTATATTGCGTGGATGAATTTGGCAAATGGATTAAAAGTAGAGAGCATAAAATAATATTGTGCATGATATTCCTAGATGATGGTATATGCATTTGACTCACCTTGTCCACTTACTTCTCGGAGAGAGATAATTGAGATGAGTAAATACAAACATAACACCGCTGCAGACATCTTTAGTCTCATATGGCCTTCAACATTCATTTTGTCAATACCTTAATAAATGTCAGCTCCAACAAACACGTTCAGTTGTTTCTTAACACACGCTAAATGATGTTGATTCAAGCTGGAGGAAGGTAATTCCCAAGGATAGAAATCAAATCTGAGCACACCTGCCCTACATCAAAAGGTTTGATTTGAAATGTTCGTGCAATTAATACTCCGTTGGGTGCAATTTGTCAGGTAACATGATACACGTGAAAATGGAACGTTGTTGAAAAAACAGTAAAACCGGTACTATTTACATTTTTCATAGTGTCAACTACAAGCTGTCAGCTCGTAGACGTATAGTTCTAGGCCGTAGTTCATTTCATTCATTCTTCTTGAATTCCTATAATTGATTCATATGAAGGTAGAATGTTTACGTGGATGGAAATTCTCTGTGGTATATACTGATCGTAAACCTTCCCTGGACGGGTTAGGGGCAACAAATGTGACTAGTTCTGACAAGAATCAAGTCTGCGGCCATGCACGGTTCCGGTGAAGCGCCTGACCTTAAGGTGTCTGGAATGATTGAGCGCCGCAGATATTCTATGATACACCTATTCTATACACACCTTGATTATCCAAAACAGAAAGACTTCAGTCACTTCACCATTTTCAATTTGAATCATCGTAATTAATATCAACCAAACAGAAGTGCTGCGACAGAGATGAGATAAGGTTAAGGGTTATTATCGATGCTAAATAAACACGGATGCTATCAAACATTGTACTCAAACCCTTCATACGTCGCTGGCGTTGAAATATTAAAGAAAGAACCCTGAAGTGCTAGAAATATTCAAAAATTCGTGCTGCTTGGTATTTTTGATTATCCATCTGTTTAGGGCTTCTTCAGTGCGAACTGAGAACATGCAAGGTAATGCAAAGTAAAACTGTTCAGAAAAAAAAACGGTCCAGGGCGTATGTGAAACAAATTGAGATTGGATTCTAGAAACTAGTGAGTTTATTGATAGCGAGTAGCTACTGTATCTTTTGAGGCATCGTAGTTAGTCTTGGCTTGGTGGCTATAGGGCGATCCCTCAGTAATCGGGAAAAAAACTGGGAACGAGGGAAAGGCGACTGAGAAGGAAAACCTGGGAAATGAAGGCGACCGAGACTGACGGGAAACCCTGGGTTGGCTGGCTGACGGGCACGCTACGGCTTTTAAAATTTGGAGCTGAAATAGCTTTTTATATTTTTATGAAAATCTTAAATAAATAGAGTAAAAAATAAAACAATTTCCACCCAGTTACGGAGGGAACACGAAACTTATCTGATATACAGTATATAGTAGGCGCTTTGTAGCTACATAGCTCTAAATATAGCAACGAAATGATAAACTTTGAAGAGACAGGAGTGGAACTGAAGGGAGATTGCGTGTGTGATGATAATGGATGTACTCTGCAGCAGTTCTTGAGGACTGTACCGCACCCGGCATTATTACAAACAAGGTATTTTTGATATTCTTCAAAAAAGCATTCTTTGCTTCCACTGCATGCAATTATCCATCTGAACGTAAGATCGCAACCACAGCATTTTCTAACTGTAACATATTATCTTTTACAGTTTTCCACTGGAAAAAGCGGTCTTTCTTGATCTCCACCATCAGACAATACAGGCGATGTCGGTGAAATATTCATCTTCAATTCATCGCAAGCTTTAGTTTGATATGATGTACAATCCTTTGTAAGATGACTTGAAACGAAGCCACGAGAATCCGTGTTAATCACAACTGTCTTTTTGGTAATATCATTTCCATTGACTCGTTGTTGATCATTGACGAACTGGGTACCATTCAGAAAGTTTGCAACTTCAAGTCTCTAAAAATATATAAATTATAATGATGCAAATAAACTTTGTCATAAAATCATACTACTAATTATTTCGTTATATATATAAATGACTTAACCAAGCCACAGTAACGAAGCAGAGCATCGTGTTGTTTTCCACAGACGACCGACGGGAGAAGCATATACAGCTCAGTGGTACTGGACAATCTTCTATGCAGTCGCCAGAATATCGACTGTAGTCAAGATGAGGCTAAATGCCTACTAAATAGTTCAGTTGATCTGATTTTTTTGTGTGAGAAGCCTTAAAAGTACGTTTTCGTATAGGGTGATAAATCAAATCAATTTCCACGACATGCAGGTTTAGACGTATGACACATTATATTTAGTATCTTACGAGCTTAATGGTAGATTTGCCAGATGGACTGCAAGTTACGCAAGTCATTCTGCCATAGGGTCGTAGAAGAAAAACTTAATTGGCGTTGAACTGAGACACAATGCACCCATTCAAGGTTTCCTATCGCTTTTTTTTGCACAACAATTTGCAGGTGTTTTTCCTCGTAAAGTAATTAGCGAACACAAAAACAAAATTTATTTTTAGCGCAATATGAGAATTAAAGAATTTCATCGATGGTATCACGCTTGTTTTTCACTGTTATGGGAAGAATAATCAATGCTGTTATAATATGTTTTGTGAGCAGCTCGCATGAAAACATATGTTACCTTATCGGCGAAATATTTTTACTATAAATTTCTTGTGCAACCCTGCACATGAAGTAATGGGATAACAAAAATTCTAACGAGAACGATTAATTTAAAGCAGCAATCTCTCCCGCAATTCATGTTTAAATTAATCACAACATGCATGCATACACATGAGGAATACTCGCGTATTGATGGAAGTATGAATGATTTAATGATGCAGCATTTCACTCTTCTTTCACCATATACCTCGTTGTACAGTTGAATTATATTTGTATATGTTGCATCCACAACTTTTCCATATATACATAAAGCATTGTTAAAATCTATGGCTGTAATATATGCATGGAACATTTTGTCCTAAAAGTTTTTGCTGTATTAATAATGAAAGTTGTTTATCTCAATTTTCATTATCAGTTTTTTATATTAATGAGCTGGTGGCTTGATAGCAGAGTAAGCCGTATGCCACGCAAAGAACATATGTTTCAGAAGAACATCTATACAGGGAGCTGCTCAAAGAGTACTACGAATTATATGTTAATCATGGAATGCTCCTTATATACAGTCGCATTTACGCGTTACATGCAACAAAGGTACCTATACGACCTCTACACGTATAAATAATCATAAATTGACATTTAGCTATAGTAATTTTTAACACGAGAATGTTTTTTTTTATTTCGATTCTCTTTGAGTTCGAATTTGAATTTGTTGACTGCTTTATATAGCTGATGAATTGTGAGGATTTCTTTAAAGAAAATAGCACATGCACTGCATGGGAGTACGCATGCAGGTATAGTGTATTTATTTGCACATAGTATATGTTATATATAGCAGCAGCAGTGTATATGAAATAACCTAATTCAAAATAACAGCCATGCGTCAGCGGTGCAGTGAGAAACTTTTGGCGTACTGAAAAATAAAATAATCATTGCATGACTAGAGGCTTATTGTTGTGTCGTCGTCAACATCTTCCATGGGAACGATTAATTACAAATGCATTAGCTATCTATACATACAAATAGTCCATTAACGATTATACAATATCCAAATAGATTAATTGGAGGAAAGAAGAAATTACTTGTCAGTATAAACATATTAGTATAAATGTAAAGAGTTAATGGTTAGAATACATTTCATCTTTGATCGCGGTGAGGTTCGAGCTTTAACGGAAACTAAACGTTCTGTTTCAGGCATATAACCCTTGTCGTATCTCTGTTGTGAGCAATTCAAAAAAAAGGTTGTGTTTTGCCTTATATAGTTAATTTGCCATGCAATTAGCTTTCGTTTTCATTTTGCACGCCCAACGATGAACGAATATTTCAAAAATTTATATATAACATCCATAACTTATATTTAGTCAGTTGTATCAGTCGTCAGAGTTATATAGAATCCATGCATGGTATTTATATATAGTATGAGGGGAAAGATAGCTAGGGCTATAATTTAATATGCACGCATGCAAGCTATACGTTGGATAAATAAGTTAAGTTGTAGACTAGAGCTAAATTTTATTCTAAGCAAGAAGAACAAAACTAAGACCTCAGGCTCAGCTGGAAAAAGCATCATCATTATTCTCTTTCTGCGCGTGTGATGTAAATAAATATATACAACATTTGAGCTTTGAACAGCTTCCAACATGACAACATTAGGAGTTCATACAATGTTCTTTCCTGCAGCCGATGTGATTTTCTGCCTAAATCATGCAAAGTCTATATACAGCTTAATTGACAGTGGAAATAGTCGATATTTCACTTTTTTATAAAATATTAATGAATTTTCCTTCTGTGGTAAAGTATCTGACGTGTTGTTTTGATATTAGGAGACTTCGCGCACCATGTTTTCGTTCTAAATAAATCATTAATCATGCATTTCAACTAATATCGCTATAAACACGAAATAGCTCAATAAAAGCTTTCGTATACTAATATGAACTCTGTATCGAATTTGGTTTCATCTTGATGACTTTGCATGATATATTCTTCAAGCCAGAAAGAATTAAATCCCATATATATAGGCTATATATGCAAAAAATGCCAGGCAAAATGCAGCCATAATTAATGTTTCATCATTATATTGGACATCATGCATGCTGTGTTAGTACTCATCATTGCTACTTGCATGCTGGAGGCTGAAATTTTTCGATATTCACAGCGCATATACCAACACTACTAACGAATAGGCATCTCCTAGAAATAGATAGACCTCCTACTAAAATTCAAAATGTCAGTAACATTCTGTTCATTGTTTTTCATAGTTCGCACACATCTACTCTCGAACGAGGCGTGGCTGAATGAGCGTATATATATACGTATATTGTATGTATATTTATATATGAATAAATGCAGGTAAGAGGATATTACATATTCGCATATTATGGCATTAACTAGATAGTCAAAATGCGAAATGCTAAGTTTGCACTAAAGAAAATAAGTCTAATTCATTTACTCCACTATATATATATAAAACGAAGTATCATTGTAGCTATACTAATTTCTTGTTCACAAAGAATAATTAAATGAATAACATTTGATAACCATAACTTCTCTTTGACACCCATCCAAAACTCGCGCATTTGTTTTTTTGAAACGAATTTTCTGACTTCAATTCAATATGTTGTATACTTGTATACATCGTTTACTATAGTTATCGAGGTAATGATGATAATATGATAATGTAACATGCAGTAATTACATATTCGTTGTTCATGCTGAGAGAAAATTATTATTAAGGAGACGATATACATTAATTTCGTATTTCACGCTGCTTCATCGTCTCTCTTCAAATCCACATGCTTTTTAGCTATTGCTCGTTCCATAGACCATAATCATTCCCGTGCTATGCACTGATCATGCAAACTCTTAGAAGAATACCTAGCAATGACGCCATGGAATATATATACTTGGCCGGTAGTCGTCATAAGCGGTATAAAATACAATGGACGAAGACAGATAAGTTTCTACAATGATCTCAAACGTTTATAAACCTATATAAGAAAACCACATCGTTGTTCATTGCATTTTTTTATTTAATAACATTAGTTAATGCATGGCCTATATTGCGGACTATATTATCATGCCAGCTGTGTTTGCCAAAAAGAACCGCACGGCTAAAAAACAGCAATTAAAGAAAGCTGTCGGTTGCTTTGTTCATCATTGCGGATGTTTGCCGCCATTTATAACTAAGGTCCTTTACATGCGCTGTTTCTTAATTATAGTAGTGTAAATTAGTAGTGTATTAGTTGTGTTACTGAGTTGAATAATCCACACGCGAGCCCGGGTCGCTGGGAAACATATAATAAAGAATTGGAACGCCATTGCATAGCTCTACGATTTATCATCTCTTGTATAACATCCTAATCATTCCCAACAAAATATCTGAATGCTTTTCATGCAGTGCTCATTTGTATTGTTGACACTTAAATGAAGATGACTGGTATTTTCCATATGTCTTTTAGATCTAAAGGCCGAGGATTTTCTCTTTCGAAAATTTTCTCAATTTCTCCTATCCGTTACGGAGTGGAATGAAATGAAGTTAACCGGCGGTATAATGATCCTAGCGCTCTAGAAGAACTGATTCGTGGAGAAGATCATTCACGGTAGAAAAGACTGCATGAACAAGACTGTCGATTTACTAGTTGTAAAAAAAGTCAGTTTGTAATGTAAAATTTATCTGTATTTGCTATGCTGTATGTCTTGCAACATTTCCTTCATTGTTGGTAGCAAAACGTGACAAGACAGGCGTTTAATTTAAACAGAAAAAATAAACGGTCGTGTCTTGCAACGGCCGAAAGCTTTACATGTAATTTTAAAACTTTAAATGTAATTCTCGTGCTTTATAAAATCAATTCAGATACATTCATATTAATTCTCTTCTTTCTTTACGAACATAATTAGCGTTCATTTTGAAATTAGCATAAAAAACAGTTGATCACGGTGATTAAGAACTTATTAGCATCAAAGAAACACTTTCAAATGAGTGAATATTTTAAACAAAGTGAATTTTATAAATAAAAGCCCGCTAAGGATCAGTTTTTATTTTTAAATACCGTGCTTTGCATCTTCCTCTACGGAGATACATTTCATGACTATGATTCAATACGGCCTCTTGCAATTAGTTATTTATGGTCAGTGGCTTACAAAAGAAATCCGTCGGGCAGAACTGCATGGATATATGAATATTCCCCCGCCCCCAATTATCGTTCTAGTTACGGCCCCTGTTTATGGTGCTATGTGAGGGACGACCGTTTCACGATGAGACATTTAGTTTGAAAATGGACACGAAACGTGGAAGACAAAGGTAAAGCTAAGTAAGTGTATTTATAGTGAAACTCAAATGATATGGCAGGAGTCACATGATGTCCATGCACGGAACGTTTCCTACCACGCATGCGTATCTTGGACTTAAACAAAATTTCCCAGGTACTAGTTTGCAAAGAGATGAAAGACAAACATGAGATTAGTTATGTGTAATTATATAAAGAGCAAGAATATTACAATATACATGTACCTGAAAGAGCTGGTTATATATAGTCGTATTTAAATTATAATACAGAAAAGTTATGCGATCAGGCCGGAATAACAAATAATGGGGAACAACGACGTTCAGTCAGGTCTTTCCTCAAACGTTTAGTTTGTTCTTCAGTTAGTCTAACTTAATCCCACAACGCACCTTTAAAGAATCAGCCAAAATAACACGAAACCCGAGTTCGAGGTAAAAAAAATCATTTAGAATGTTGTGTGGATTAATTTTATCATAATGCAGTTCCCAAGAGAATATCCACACAGATGATGTCGAATGTTAAAACTCTTATGCAAGCATTGCATCAGAAATATCAGTTATCCAATGAGAATATAAATATAACATATTGTATAACATAGCTACAGCGTTTACATCTTCGCACGTTATATACATGGAGCCTTTACAAACTAACATACTCATAAATATTTGAATTATATATGTTTTAGATTTAAAGGGAAATTTTCTCGACTCAGTCCCCCAAAAAACTCCCTGTTATAAACACGTTTTTTGCGAAATTCAAGTACTTTCATTACTACGAAATTATTAATTAGTCCTCAGAATACTTTAAAGCGCATGCCTATAATATGCATACATATATTTCGTTCACTGATCTGACGCGCATTGATCGCGCTAACTATTATAATCGATTGGTCACAAATATCACGTAAACACCGATCTGATTACAGTTCATTGACAAGGAACACAGGCTCGCTCTGTACAATATTAGAGCGCTGAAACTGAATAATTGACTTCAGATAGCGTTTTGAACGGTGTGTTGAAAGCTGATCGTGTTTTAAAACTATGTGTTTATATTTAGACAGTGTTTTGTACAGTGCAATATTCTTGAGGTGAAGCGTTTGGTAAGAGTTCAAAATCTGTAATTTGTTCACATGTTGTTGTATTGCTATCTGTTGTGGAGAAAAATACACTAGTAATACCACGATATGGCCTTACTCTTTCCAGAAACTCCGACTTTGTATGAAACCACCGATTCCATCTCGTTTTTATAGCTTGTCTTACTTCCCCATTAAACACGACATAAACAAGGCAAGCAAGAGTTCCCTAAATGAAAAATAATCAACAAAAATCTATGAATATGAGAGATATTCTATGTATATTGAGAACTTTATGACAGGTACATTACGCGTCTCCTACAGTCCATATATGTACCAATTACCTAATATATTTACAGCACCCTTATATACAGTAGCTGTGGTCGAATTTTTTTATAACATTGACTGGAATTAAAATACCAGTGTTTTTTTTTCACCATAGTTACATTAGCTACATGATTTTTCCTTCATCTGATTTGGATAATGCTTAAATTTCACCTCACCTGCATGGGGTAAAGTATCCTTATGAGATAACTGTACCATACTGGAGGATTACCAGGAACATACAGTATCATTAAATAAATAACACCAAGCAGAGGCATCAAAACTAAAGCAGCCCTTATGCCTTTCCTTCAATCAAAGAAAAAGAAAAAATGTATGAAGAAAACTGACAGGGAAGCAAAATATCAATATGACAGTTTCCTATACATATTTTGACTGAATTATCTCGTTAGCCTGGCTCAATGACCGTTTTACAAGCCGTACTTACACCTGTGCGTATTGACGATACAAGCTATGGACACTAGTGGATAATGTTTAAACATGTTGGCTTAAAACACTCAGACATTTGACCCTTCCTCAAACATTTGAGACAGTCCCGACCTCTTTGAACAAAATTATAACTTACTTGAGTCGTAGTAGTTCGGATGTCGCTGATATCCGCAGTTTATCAAGAAGTACATAAATGACATATATCAGCGTCACGAAGTTGATCTGAAATGGATCATTTTAGTTATGGCAACGCAATGGTTTTGGTCATTTTGAGGAGAACGAAAAGGGATTAATTCTCCTGGGTAATTCGCATAGCTAAGATAAACAAAAATTATCAAAAGTCATGAGAAGTGTTTCACTCGGCACCACCTTTTATCGAATTAGATTTTCTTTTCTTTAACGCATATTTTCAAGAAGGTTGCGTTTTAATTGCTCTAAAGATTCCGTTTGGATTAAGGTCGTTTTAAGTAGGAACAGAGTAAATAACAACATCGCTATATACAGAGTAAAATTTTTACCAGAAGCATTAACGTCATGGGACCATACAGGATGAACATATAATATGAATCTTTCTCAGTTTCCCAGCACCTAAAGAAGTTGAGTAAAGTATTACGTTACTTCAATTCCATGTTTGACCACCAGTGAACAATATGTTGCTCCCAAGCTCCCTCTGCTACGTTTTACGTTTCATTATTTTTCATTTTTACGTTTAATTTTTTTCGGCGGAGCAACATTCCCCCAAAACAAATGAAATCTTGAATCGTCATGCAATTGTTCCAATCAGTGTATTCCAAAAACCAAAGCAGAAAGTGCCAGAATATTTAAAAGTCCCCAAATTTCATACTTATCTATTTCTGTATCCACGACTCTCAACATAAGAGGAACGTAAATACCAAACACTAAAACGGCAGGAAGTCCTAAAATATTTGGTAGAAAGAAAATTTTTTTTCATTGAACACACCTTACATTCCTTTAATTAAAGATAACTGAGATGTAGATGACAGACAGCACAGGGCGATTTTGTTAGAAAACTCGAAGTATTGCCCGCTCATTAGTATAATTTTCGAAACCAATTAAGTTATCTCATTTACTACATTTTAAAACGTTTAATGAAAATTACGACCATTTCGGTGCAATTTTATTGATTGGCGGAAGGATAAACTCACCCCAGCCAAATGCAAAGAAAACCCAAAAATACGACTTCGCATCAAATGTTCGAAATAAAAGTTTCAACAAGAAGAGAGCTTCATTCAACATCCACGTTACTTCTGAAACCGCGAAGAAGCGGTTAAATACCCAGAACACATTACAAGCCGTCTAAAGGATAAAACCATTTGAAACGTTTTAGAAAATTAACTAAATTAACCAAATTAACTAAATTGCTAACAACATTACATAGATAGAGAACAGCGTCAGCAGCGTTACATTAATACAAATTATTCACTCTTATTTTCTTTACTCTTTCCTTGGCGAAGTTTTATTTCCGTACCATGCAAGGAGCTATAGAAAAAATTACGCCCAAAATCATAGGGATATTGACAGAGAAGAAACTCGTACCGTATCAAGACCTCCGTAATAGTTTATGAAAAATGTCACCACCCGAAGCAAAAAAGTAGAAATGAGATTCTTGTGTAAGTTAAAGCGGACATTCTTTCTATCACTATATAAAAAAGATTAAGATTAAGATTATTCAAGCCATTTAGACCCAGTCGCGGTGTAAGTTAATGTTAAGCGGAAGATTTTGAAAGAAAACTTTTTGCATGATGGTTAATGTCTACAATATAAGAATTTCTCCCGGTACGATAATAAACATTTCAATGTAAATACTTCATTCAATGCATGCAACGATATGCTTCAACAGTTTTCTGCATGCGCATGCGTTGTTTCTCGGAGCCCAAAGGCTTCAAATAGAATTTTTAAAATTAAAATATAAATTCAAACAAACATACATGAAGTAAAACAACATGGTGAGAGAAGGTATCATGAATGAAAAAGATATCCAACTAAATGTAAGATAAACCTTCATTTGCTTATGCCTCGTCGTTAAATCCTGAAAAAAAGAAGGTGAAAACATTGTTTCCCATAATAGTGTGCTGGTTTGATTGACCTGAGCTTATTAAACTTTGCGAAATTTTAACAATTGATAAAACAAATACCAAATTTAACGGCAATCTACTGAAATCGCGGAATTGACTCTATATATGGTGGTGCATGGTTTAGATACAAGACCTCTGAAGGACTATAAAGCCCGTTTAACATGTACCAGGACGGTTAAAATTGACACCAATACAAAGGCTGAGCACGGATGAAAATTGTCAATATAGATTAGAATAGTATACATACCTTATTCTCTAGCAATTTGTCGAAAATCTCTCTCAAATTATCTGGTGGGCGTTTTGTACATCTTTTCAGGAAGTTCAAATGAGTGAAATTCCATTTTCCATTTTTATCACAAAAGGTTTCAAAGGAAACTAAAATGAAAAGTAAGACACACATTCATCACTCGTTAGCAAAAAAATTGTGAGTTAAAGATCAAATTGAACAAGGTGATGGTTTGATAATGAATAAATTGTTTCTCTCTGGTAGAGTTATTTACCGTTGGTATAGAAAAAAAGTACGGGACAAGAAGAGTTGGCACTTTCTCCTGCACATGTTTTAGCCCAACAATCTGTCGATTCCCGAAACGTACGTGGACATGAAAGTCTTCCTTCACCTAAAAAAACGATGATACGATTTTCGACTTGTTAGAAAAATACGATACGTAGATAGGCTCGTGATTTATTGTTTGTTGTATCGGACGGCTTTATTATGGTAGTACATTCTCTCGCCGTTGGCGAGAGAGCATTGCTCAGGAATCTCAAGGTGTCGATTGGATCCCTGCAGTACCTGAACTGCGCCCGTTTGCGCGTTAAATTGTAACTATCAGGCGCATGCGCGTGATGGTTGGTCGAAGTGATCAACGTGAATTACTTCTATTACTTACAATTGCGCGTATCTTTCATTACGTTCGATTTGCTAAAACATTTCCTTTTTAGCTTTTCTGTGACACGATCCCAATCCAAACGCTTAGACCATGTTTTTGGCAAACCCTGTGTAATTGAGAAAACCGGTGTCAAATATTAGTAAAACTAAGAAAACAACGAAATTTGCATATCAAATCTGGATGGCTGTTATCGTCGGAGCCGTCCCATCACTCAGTGGAGTCTTGAAGAAAGGTGTCCTGTCTTTTCCCCTTGGACCAACCTTTATGTCGAGGAGATTTCTATACTCTATAGGGAAGATTTCCGACCTAAAAATAGTCTGCTAAGTGAGCGCCGTTTCGTGAAACATTTTTGTTATCCTTGTCAAAATAATTACGCGTATTTACGTGATATCTAAAGGGTTAAAGGCTCTTAATTTTTAAGTGTAAAACATACACATTTTAATTTTAAAGCCAGAAAAAGTTGAGAAGAAAGCTTCAACTAAAAAATGTGTGAAGTCATAAATGTGTATGATTTCCGCTTTCAATTCTCTTTCATCGTTCAGAAATAATGCAGCGTCAAGTGAAGTGCCATGAAAACTCATTTGATTTATAACCTCATGCACCTGTCTACTACCGTAATAATTTCAGAATTGTCTCTGTGATTTCAACGTTCAGGTACCGATTCTTTATCAGATTTTGCTGGCGTCTTATTGACCGCGCACGCATGCAGTTACAAAATGCGAGATTTAATAGATAAGGAGTTTTGTTTGCCGGGCGGGTAAAAAAATGTCTGCATATGTGCACTATGACACACCATCTTTTTTATGCCACATGAACGTTTATCATAATTTCGCCTTCAGTCCTTCTTTAGATCAGATCTATATTATAATCTACTGTTTTATTCCGTTTTAAATTTACTGTATCGCTGACAATTTTTTAGACACTGCATGAGTATGAAATTTTAGAAATCTAACGTATGGCATGATCTGTCACAAGTTCAAAATTATATTATAGATGAAAGTTTGTTCACATAATTATAATCAAGCAAGCAGGATAAAAAATAATAATAACATGCAATGATCCACTGAATGTTACGGTCATCAACTCATGGAACTTAATTTTTTAACATATAGCACGTACATATATAATATGTCACATTAAATATTGGCGGCCAGTTTTCAATAAACTTTTCGTACATAATATGATATAATTCCTGGGCATTAGGATCACTTGAAATATAGTCTCATGCACGAATTCCGTTTTAGCGTGCAATCATGTGTGTTTCGAGTATAGATTTCCGTTGTTCTATGGTCATTTCAACTTTCATATATATCCTGATCCGTAACTTCTTAAGCCATACAACCTAAATTCACACCTGCATTGATTTTATTTGGAGCCCTGCAAGGCTGAAAAAAACATGGTAGGAACACAAACTCCTAAAAAATGTTTCAGAAACAAACAGAACAGTTTTCAAGCTATACAACAAACTAATTTATTTACCATAAGAAGGAGAAGAACGAGAAGAACAGCCATTCCAAGGTTGACATGATATTTTCCAATCATTTTACGGTTGTTTGAGATTTTCACTTAATCACCTGAAACAAATGGATTGTATATGACTATATAATTATAGTGAATATTTGACTTGATAAGTTTCTGAAAACAGCTGATCGACGTCTAGCCGTTATAACTGTTGATCTCAAATAGAGTCATGCATGCAGAAAATCATTATAGTCTTTAAGTGTATTTACACAATATCACACATGCACGATGCGACATGCGTCGCTGTTTTGAAGTGTTACCAATCAAATTATACGCCAGGTATATTACTGCATGAATATTATTAAATCATTGCATGCATATATTGAATATGTACTTTCGTCATTTACGACAGTCGTGGGCAACAACAGAGTGTTTTTCAAACCATATTTGTCTATCTAAATCAACGCAAACTTAAACTAGTTTAACACGTTTTCCAAGACAAGTGCTGTTAATTTAAATGAAAATCGGTAAATAAATGGAAATAATCAGGAGGAATATAAACAAAAGTAGATATACGCATGTGTGTTGTGTTTGATATCAAACTGGATAACCAAGCTTTTCAATTAAAAATAGTCTGTGTATGTAAGTACATCACGTCTCAAAATGAAGACAGCCGGTGAACTCAAAGAATATTAAGAAAAAAAGGTCAGACAATGATTCAACAAGAATTGTAAACAAAAAATATTATCAGCGGTATATAATTTTCATCACAAAATTCTAAAACATAGCCGAAGATCATTTGATTTGCAGTCTGCCCTTAGTTATTTTCGTCATGGTTTTGTGTTTATTGGTAAGTAAGGTTTACCTGTAAATCCTTTTCATAAACAATGGATCTCCATTTTTTTACCTCGCGGAGTGCATCCATGCAAGAAAAGCATGCTGATTATATGATTTTTCAACACATGCATCAGAATTAAGTTTTAATTTTGACGAATAAATGCGGAAATGTGTTTCAACACGAGGTGACGCATTTATGATATAAATTTAGTTTCACAAAGAAAATGCATGCCATGCACTATGTGCAACAATAATGATATATTCTGCAGTGGCAAATTGTACGTTCACAATCCAATAGAAGATGGGTTTTCTGATATATTTCAAGAAAGTTAATCAAACACCGCTCCACGTTAACGCTCCGTCTCCGACATGTGCGCACGTTTTGTTTATATCAAATATGCAGCTTTTTATAACATCCTGAAAATGTTCGTCTTTATTTCTGTGTTCAAATCAATCATCGTTGACTGCAGACAAATAGAAATATTCTATCACATCAATCACCTTGACATCGAAACCAGGCTTGAAAACTGTTTTGCTAAAATCAACACATCGTATTCATGAACGATTGACTTACATTTTGAAATATGAGAATTTATTTTTTCGAGCGATATCGACAGAAATTCAAGCGCTCGAATTTGCAAGGTGTTTAAAAAATTGGCAGATGAAGAAAAAAAATCGCCGCATCAACAATTAAAAAATCTTGTCACTTTATGTGAAATAATGAGAAAAGGCGGCGATTGCAGCCCACGCTCGCCTTGATCTGGCAATTTTATTCTTTAGAATAATAGTCGAAGACCCTTAGGTGGAAATGTCGAGAAATTTATTTGTCTATTATATAGGCAGTTTTTTTAAACCAAATTTGATGAAATTTCCCAGACAATTGCACTACTGTTTTGATCCGCAAACTATCCAGAACGTTTTTAATGGCATGAGTAATTCATATTATTTAATCCTTTTCTACATTATTCTTATAAAAATATTATAAGAAAAACGCACAAAAAAGGCCTACGGAAGAATGCGCATTTCACTTTTTTAGCAGTCAGTCATTCGGTCGCAATACACAATTATAACACTTCTAGATACCGTGCTGTTATTTTGTTACTAATTTGAATATATTGCAAACTTCAACCTAGTACTACTAATAAGCGCCTTCACTCAGTTTGTCCATTGCAAGATTGCTGCATCGTTTGTTTTTTTACAATTACAGAAATGTTTGCGTAATCTAACGCTTACAAAATCATACACTAAGAAATATAAATTCAGAGTCACCCGATGAATGTGAACGATAATTCGGTCGCGTCGATTGCGTCGAAAAACAGAATAGAAAATAGGGATTGGCACTAGTTCTCAGGCTTCACATTTTCAAACTAGCTGTCGCCTTGTGAACACGTCAGTGTTAATGTAACCATTGGCATGAAAATAGTTAATATCAACTAAAGTTTGATCAGCTTTTAACGTTAACTCGAACTCCTTTTATAATGCACACGGCCAACCACGTGATTAAAGTTAATAACGTTTTACTACAATCAGGTGGTTAAATATTACGATTTATGATTAATTTATTTTGAGATATTTATATGTTAAAATTATGAGCTTTTATTGTGTTACACTAATGGAAATATTAGCAGAAACAATTAGTTTAAGTGGAAATATTTGTGGAAAATTCGCCGTTTTGGAACCTTATAATAATTGTCGGCAAGTGTAAAAACAAAATGAGCGTCTAGAACAAATTTTCGCTTTTACAAGTTACTTGTCTTAATGATGGTAATTGTCTGAGCATGCAGTAATGGCACCGTCTTTGGACTAGATAGCCAGATCATATCATTCAGTGTCAGTCATATGCTATTCATAAGTGGCGCTCTTGCCCAGTAAAATAGCAGTTAAGTGTAAACCTAATGTAAGACCCCAATATTTTCAACATTACTGCGTGTTAACTCTTCAAGTGTCTCGATGGCCACGTCAAGTTATACTGAACCGATTTTCCCTTCAGTATTTTTAGCAAAAATATATATACCTAGATCAGTTTGTTTGAATATAATAGGATTGTCTTTGCTGGTAAGTCAGTCTAGCCCGACTCACTGACTGTGGAAATACGAATCAAGAAAATATATACAGGGAAGCATGGCAACTCTATGCCCATCGCATGGTACCAAAATACTTAAGAGGCGCAGATGAGGCAGTTCACTACTTGAAATAATTACATGCATCATATTAGAATTACTATCCATTTATAACATTATATTCCGGTCATAATGTAGTCTACATGTTTTAGGTTCAAAAAATTTCCAAACACAATAGAGTAAAGAAAAATCATCCAATCAATATATAAAATGTGACAAGTATTACCTTTTAAACAATGACCCGGCAAATTCTATGCTATCAAGTATCAACTTATATATGATTTTAAAAATCATCGAGAAAACACCATGAAACTGCTTCAGGATACAATTTGCTTTTCGATACGATGTGTTATCACGGACCTTTAGATGTATATAGTTGAAGTGAGCGGTTTATATCCTTTAATTACGTAGTTGCTTGATATATCGGTTAATAATTTGCATTTAATTAGAGTAAATGAGACTCGTGACCTGCATCTAATGTGCTGTTCACACGAAAAGCAAAACTTGTATAGCTGAGCTCATTTTTATAATCTGTATGAATACTTGACGTCAATCTGCATATTGGACATGCATGTTAACATACACGTTTACTAATTTTGATCAGCGATATACAAATGTAAAATACTTTCTCAGTAAAATAGACTGAGTCATTATTTGAAAAACAAGCAGCTGCAACATTGATGAATCATGACGTCATTTCTAGCGAGGTTTAATGTGCCTGTCCATATCTACTTCGAAAAGAGATAGCGCTAATAACAGCTGGAGACATGCATGGGTCTACATGTGTGCGCCAAATCAATAAATGGCCATAGAACATGCTCGTCAAAATATTTAATGATAACACGATGAATGCGATCTTGATCGAAGACCATACATATTAAGACCTATAAGCCTAACAAAGGAATTTGCTTTGTCGAACGACCTGAAGGACTGTGTTGTTGACAGACATGTTTATTGCAGTTTAATAAATTAACAGTTATACACGTTTAATAACGTAACAGTTATACAGCATGAGCATTTAATTCATTATAGTCTGACCCCAAGGGTCCAAAACATCTATATATATATATATATATATATATTATTGACGCATAATTGACGTATATTCGTGTCTATAAATGTGTAATGATGTCTGTTTAATTTTTTTTATCAGAAAGACGGTATAGTTTGACGTTTGAAGCTCCTCGTGGTGAGTTGCCTTCACGCCTTTGAAGATTGCCACACTGACTGAACACAAATTTACAGATTCAAACACAGATTTACGAGTCTTTACAGATTTCGTGATTTTGCTCCCCCCCCCCCCCTAATTAATGCGAGTAAATCAAGACACAGAGAGTTCAGGCAAAATATTTTGGGAAGGAAAGTTCTAGTTTTATGGCATGAAACCATATGCTTTTATATTGCTGGAGATGTTATGCGTTGAGTGTGACGTAATAATAAAAATATTCTCCTATCCTGTGTGATCAGTGGTGTGCGTCAGAAAGGTTATAATGAGCTAAAACATCATTAAATAATGAATAGGTTTTAAACCATTAAGAAATAAGACAAAATGCTTAGTGCGTCTGAATATATTTCTTTGAAATCTTTCTTTGAATCACGTGGGTGGACGGCACAATATTTAGGAATTAATGAATGATCTTATGCATGCATTCTGGTGATATTATGAAGGAGAACCCAATGGACTAAAAGTGATTGTTATGTAGTTCTATAGAAACCAGACCGGCTCGGAGACATGCATTTGATGAAACAATAACGTAACGTAGCGAATTTCTTTGTTTCCGAAGTATTCGAGCAGAACGAATGACTTTAAAACAATGAGATACGCTACGTTTCGCTACGATACAATTGAAGTGGAAAACGGCCTTAAAGCACAGAAGACAGTTAATTTTAAACCTTTAAATTTCTTGAGGAAGTGCACGTTGTTCCGAAAGTTTGAACAAGATAAAAATATCCGGATATGCATGTGTGGACCACTGATGTGGACAGGGTCGAAGCCTGAACAATGTTCACCGCGCACTAGAGAGATGGTATGGCACGCTGTCACAAATGACATTTTTCTCAGCAGAAAGCTCAAATGTGAGCTAGCTTAAGATTGTTGTGTTAATAAAATCTGGAGACTCGTTTATTATAAACTTTGATTATCAGTAATACGACCAAGTTTGAAGCATATAAATTGATTCATGTATGAAGAGTAAAATGATGCGGCGTTATTTGAGGGCTTAGCCTGAAACAGGTGCTAATTAAGTAACCGGAATAAATAGACGTATATTAATGAGGTGCCATAGTTGTAGAAAGTTCTAATTCCACTCTCGTTGAGTGAAATAACCAGGTCTTCCTAAATTTTAATGCTTTCGATATATCGCTACTGTAGTGTGTGATTAAGAATAATGTATATGTTCATACGAACAACAATATGGCCGAGAGACTCGGATAACTTATGAATTAAAATAATCGTCAGCACATCTTGCAAACATGTTTAACATGCATGCATACTTATATTGGCTCATTTTCGACGTTAATATATTAATGTCAATGAGGTGTTCATAATTCTTGATGAAGATGTTTGTTGTTTTGCCTTACCTGATCCAAAACAGTATAGTATCCTGGCTCTTTATTTCCACTACAATACTTTCGATATAATCATCTCTCTATTGCCTGCACGTCCTTTACCCTTAAGAAATAGCAGAAATATAAACCAAGTATGCTTAATGCGTGTGTACTCATAAAATTTTCATACCCATGCAATTTATACCCACGGCTGGCAATAAAGTTGTCTTTATATAAACTCAGGATTACTTAGTTTGGATGTAAGAAGGCCACAAGACAAAATATTTCAAGATGACAAACGATAATGAGATTTTCTCATGGACATGTTGTCTTCATGCAAGTGATAAACACAACTGACTAACTTGTGAGCCTGATACGTGCAGACACGCTATATACAAAAACACTATTGAAGCAAAAAAACAACTTAAATGTTTATAAATTATTATTCAGAATTACCTCGTGTGGACTATGGCGTTTGATCCATGTTTGTTATGCAGTACTTCAGGTTTTGAATAACACAGACTATCTAAACATTGACAGGAAATAGGAATATAGAATCCTGTATGTAAAAATTGAATCCTGTATGTACAAAAGATTCAAAAATGTGATAAATGAATGGAGATAAAACTATCCACATTCAGCTATCAAAGTTTATCACTCGAACTAATGTTTTGAAAACCCCATAATGAGTAATTTCGCTGTTTTATCAGAACATCGCGTTTTTTCAGTCGCCGAAAGAAATTTTTAATTGCGTTAGCACCTTTTCGACACCCTAACTCTATACGGCCTGAACAAAGCCGAAATATAAACAAGTTCACACCTTGATTAAAATTTAATATTGGAGTATTTTGATGCATTTCAGTCCTACAGGAAGAATTCTCCCATGAAAATCCACCAAAATTTATATTGATTGCCATATATACTGTACATTGAACAATAGCGATGCAGGGGGGGTCATATGCATAAGAAAAGGAACACATATTATCTCATGTCACTGATAATCGCATTCATTAGTCATTAGTCATTTATCATTTTTCGCCTTTTTAAAGCGATGTCTACAAAATGAATGAGGTTAATTCAAACCAATCGAAGATGAAGCAATGAAAAATTGATAAAAGCATTTTAAAATTAGGATTGGCATGCAGTTTACGAGTACATGCATATGCCTGTATATGTGTGATTCGTGGCTTAAAAAATATTATAAAGAAGTATAATATAATTCAAGTATATCAAGCAGTCACTGATAGGAATCTCAGCGTTACAGAAAGAAAAGCGTGCCGCACTAATACCATGCAACAAAGAAAAAAGGTAGAAATTAATAGCTCTATATATAGACTATTATAGTCTATATACAATTTTATCATTTTTGATACGACTGTTTTTTGTGACTTTTCGTAATCACGGAAATAATCTTGCTGAATTTATTATATATGATATTTTCAATGATATTTTTTAAATTTCCAACTTCATCTTTAATTTGTAGGTGCGACAGCTAGCATGATTAACACATAAATATAAGATGAGTATTCCGATGTAACGGTTTGTTATTGTAGCTATATATAAATGCATGCATGCACGCATTACCATTAGTAACACTCAGAACAATGACAATTGATATAATATATTCACTGCGTTTGCAGTTTAGTGCGAATTTCCTTCCGAACGTTTTTCCTAGACAAGTGCAGAATAGACAGAATAATTTATGTTATATAGCTTCAGGCTATTTTCGTCTATAATCAGACTCAGTGATTAAGATTTCTATGCGGTCTTAAGCCACGCAAGGAGCCATAATAAGTCCAAACAACTAAAAGATCAAAGATAGACAGAATAAGCAAAAAGATTATAAACAATGAAGAAAGACCGCGATGAACCGTGATGACAAGAAATTTCCTTCTCTGACTTTTGCTGAGCATCCGTTGTTTTGCATAAACAAACGTTTCTAGCGACGCATAAACCTAATTTCAGTGGTCTAAAACTGACACACAAAAAATCACATTTAACTGACAAACCAGCCAATCTTCCCAGGTGCATGCCCATTTCTTTTCTGTGCACGACAGTGCATGTGACGTTTTCCTCGTAAAAAACCTGCATGATTTTTATAGTTTGTTTTTCTAACTGAATGCATGGAGATATTAGCTTTACATTTGACTCGTTCATTACTTTTTTCTCAGTACAGTTCAGTATCAAAAAATATGTTTGAGCGAAGCTATTACTCGCCGCGTTTGCATGCATGTGTTTCTACAGTGGAAGAGCATGTCTTGCTTCTTGCATGCATGTCAGCTTTGGCCAAAAACTTTAATTCAAGTATAGTAAAGTTAACACGTTAACGAAACTGAAATTTCGCTAACGCGGAAAATAATCCTGCACTTGAAAAGAGGCTGTAAAACCATAAGATCGACAAAAGGTGCGACATAACAGCCCTTTAGTGTGTACCACAAACCTATACTATAGATATATAGGTTAGTGGTATAGTGGTTCTAGTATATAGGTCAGTGGTATGTACCCATCTGTATATTTCAAAATGAATGATCGTCATGGAACATTTATTCAGTACTGCCTTTCTTTAATTGAATGCATGCCTTGCATAACACCTAAGTTTATATAGATCTAGCTGCATGCATGTATATATAGTTAGATATATACTGAGGCCACATTAAAAACTATTAAGTAAAAATACGTTTGTGCAGTTTAGTATATCGGTAAACTTGTAATGATTTGGATGTCTAAATTCATCACATGCATGCATGCAGGGAAGATACACAAGCGGACATAAGACATTCAGGGTACGTGATAAATATTTCATTACCATATTTTTTATTCTCTATCTTTCTCGTCTTCCTATATAACGAGCGATAAGTCTAGTTTTCCTGTTTTAAGAATAATATTATTCTCCAAAGCTTTTACGCTGTGAACATCTGTTACAAAACCCACGATAAAAATTCCATTTGTGCATATCACGTGCAATATATCCTGCTTAATAAAAACAATCCAAACTCAACAACACTTGATATAAGCTGCCTTTTGTTTATAGAGAAAATATTCAAACCGCACTTCGTGTGGGTAATTTAATTTGATCACTTCCACTTGCCAATAAAGTCACGCACACATGGAATCACATGCATTAGGTCTTCAAAATATTTCGTTCAATAGATATGTGAATATATCATGGATAGTATCTGTTGCCTTTACCAATTAGTGCCCAGACGTTAATGCATATAGTTATTCGCATGTTTATTGCCTCATCCATATTTAGCCCATCAGTCATGCCATGCACATGCTCTTCCGTACCTAAACGTTAATTGTTCTTCAGTTGCCTGTCACAACTGCATGGTAATATATTGTCATATTTTTCTCACTTGCCGGCATAACGGCATTTGGCAGACATCTGTGTTCTGTTTTATCTTTAAAAATCGATATCAAAATATAAATTGGGAAGTTCAAACTCTAGTTGCAGTTCAATATTGTTTCCTGTTCAGTTGTTCAGTATTGTTGTTGAATCGTTGCTGTTGAGTACTGTCGTTGACTGCTTGCTGTTCAGTTGTTCAGTATTGTTGTTGAATCGTTGCTGTTCAGTTGTGTTGTTGAATCGTTGCTTTTCGATATGTTAGTGAATTTTGCTGTTTCTTATCTAAATGCGTGTATTCACTGCCGTTCGATGTTGTTGTTGCTGACTGCAACATTTTTGTCTTCTGGGTTCTTACCCCTCCTCATATAAGAAATGGAAAACAGCTCAGGAAATGTCTGAAGCCGGTTTTCCATGCACTAGGCGGAATTTTTCGATCGAACGAGTTCTCACAATTGAAAAGAATATCTGACGAAAAATCAGTTTCGTTCTGTCGAAAAATTCCGCCTAGACCAAGTGGAAGAACGGCTTAATAAGTAACATGCACAATCACATATTATATTGACTGTTGCAAATCGAACTTAGTGGGTCTGAAAGTTGATTTTATAACTTAATTTTTAGTATACATGCAGGAAAGCTGAAAAAATTTCAATTTCGTAGAAACACTTCAAGTCATGATTGTACATAATTATAGCTAAATATATTCGTCTATTTTTAAGAGTCCATTTTCTCAATCTTGCATTCAATCAGAATTTTATTATTCTCAACAATTTTTAGGTCATTTGTGATAACCTTTTTAATAGATAATTTCATTGTGTATACAAGTACTACATGCTACCACATTGTGCAGATAATGTTATATTTATAGGAAACAGATTTCAATCGACCGAGGACCTCCTTCAAAATAAACTGATCTTGCATGCATGTGTGACTGAGACAGTGATGAATGCAACTTTGTAGACGGAGTATTTTAGGGTATGAATTATGAAAGAATTTGGGCGTTTTATGACTATATGACCTCCTTAACGTTAGGTCAGTTAAATTATATCATTGCACCATCAAATATTATGAAGTTTAACATGCAATTCGACTTCATAGAGATCGATCTAATGGCTCGATATTGACATTTCAATGCACCTATCAACTTCGTAACCAGGGCCTTCTCGTATGGGGAGGAAAGTTCTTTGCAGCATTCGGTCAAACTAGTACCTGAATACTCCAAAAATACTCCTTCTACCCCCCCCCCCCCCCCTCCTACGAAAAGGCCCTGGGTACGATCATGCAGTGAATATATTTCGTACGACTTCTGATCATTCTGAAAAGTGAAAACACATACGCGCCTTGTATAAACAGTCCCATGCATATGATGCACCGACAATCTTGCTATATTGTCATTCCTCTACTGCGTAATAGCCAAATGACAGATGTACAAATAGGTTGAAACATGTCTAAATTCATTTGTAGGCGACTTCAATTGGTTCCACCTGGATGCTGGGGAAACAATGAAAGAAACGTACTACGCGTAATTCCGTACGATACGGTTGAAATGAAAACCAGCCTTTTACCGTCATGACTCATGAGGCAAATTTGACGTAGGCAAATGAACTTAACACTTATCAGCGGTCGCTATATTAGCAAAAAAGTTGAACAAAATCAATATTGATTTGAGTCTGTTGTTAGCCTGCTTTCTGTTAATTCTCCTATTTTTATGCTTTTTAATTTCATTGGAAAAATAGCACAACTTTGTGCTGCATGTTTTGTGCAATTTATTTCTCAGTAATTTACTAGGCTGCAATTCCATTTTCGCAATTAGTTACCTTAATTCGCATCATTTTATCCCAACCTAATGAACCTAACAAGATTCAATAAATATATTACAATTATATTACTAGTATTAAATTACAGGCGATTCAGGGGACGACGTGAAGAGAGATTTATTGATTTACAATATTCTATATATTCTAATATTTTGACCACTATCTTATACAATTTACATCCCCGTCGGTATTAAGTAGGAAAACAACACGAATGAAACTAAGCTTTTGAATCATGTGCATATAAATATAAATATAAATATCCATGCATACATGCTCGCATGACAGTTACTATGCAAAATATTTGCATTTGGTTTATGCGTACATGTAATTAGCTAAATAGTGAATCATGCATCGTCTGTAGGGCTT